GCTCCTGCCTAATGTCCCAGTGACTCAGTCCTGCGTGTCTGTGGAGGGTGCTAATAGGAGTGCCAGCCCAGGGCCACAGTCTCCCACAACCCCCTGGGAGTGCCAGCCCAGGGCCACAGTCTCCCACAACCCCCTGGGAGTGCCAGCCCAGGGCCACAGTCTCCCACAACCCCCTGTGAGTGCCAGGCCCAGGGCCACAGTCTCCCACAACCCCCTGGGAGTGCCAGCCCAGGGCCACAGTCTCCCACAACCCCCTGGGAGTGCCAGGCCCAGGGCCACAGTCTCCAACAACCCCCTAGGAGTGCCAGCCCAGGGCCACAGTCTCCAACAACTCCCTGGGAGTGCCAGCCCAGGGCCACAGTCTCCTACAGCCCCCTTGGAGTGCCAGGCTCTGGGCCACAGTTTCCTACAGCCCCCTGGGAGTGCCAGGCTCTGAGCCACAGTCTCTCACTGACCTTAACCCCCAAACCTAGCTCTGTTTCCCAGGCTTCCTTACATTCAAGTGATAAATGAGACTTGGAAGACATGGCGCGACCTTAGCTTCAGACCTGCTATACAACCTGAAGTCAACAGGGCTCCACAATAATAACCACTGTATTTGTCTCATAGTTCACTCTGGTTTGAGGTAATATATTGGAGAAGCTATAGCCCTCAGTGACAGCAACAGTTATAGTTTCAGGTGGAATTTAGCCTTTTCGTAAATGATGGTTTAGCCTGGAAGTTGTATTAACACCTTAGTTCTGATAGTAATATAATCATGGTTTAAAACAATAACTTTCAGCTAGAGAAAGAGTTGCTCAGTTGCTGAATGGTGTGGTGTTCTGCAATGGGACATTGTCTTATGTGAGTTAATGTAATGTTGTGTCGAGAAAACGTTGCTAATTAGGCTGTGAGACCAAGGAAATCCGCTGACACTGTACTTTGATTATAAAGGTTTATTCATAACAAAGGATTACAGGTTCAATTTATGGATGTCTGCAGACACCCGGAGAACAGCCGACCCAAATTCAAATATGCTATTCTCACCGTCCTTTGTCCCAAACCATAGTATATATCCTATGTAATCTGATATGGGTGTTTTCCCCTACAGACCACTCCCAGGAGTCCACACAACAGACTTCCTCTGCTTTAGGGTGCCCCTCTAAAACTGCTCTCCAGATGCTCCCTGGGCCAAATCAACATTCTCTCAGATACCATTTGAAAACGTTAGCAAAGTCATAATTCCTCAGATACTACAGTAATGTTAGTGATTGAGCTTCAGAGACAGGTCGTTGAGACCTGAGTTTTGTGGCGAGGCCTTGTTTGTTATTGTGGCTTTATGTGCAATAGATATTTGGAAATGACTTCCTCAGAAAAATAGTAGTTCACCATTTGTTATGCTTTTGTCTAGAGTTTTCTCAACAATAAAGTTGGTGTTAGGTAGGGGTAGTGCATTGATGTATCAGTATGAATGCCTCTTTGGTCTACATCTGTTTCTTGTTCATTTCCTTAAGAATTCTTGCTGTTATGCTCTTCACCCCTGTCATGCACAAGACATACACTCCATATTATCATTCTTTCCAGAGTTCTTGGGCATTTTGTAGCACCAGTTATTCAATTTAGAAGTAAATAAAACATGATGATCATTATGATCGATCATATGATGAGTTGATCTATCATTCTCAAGTATCAGTTTAACACAAGTTATTTCATTTTTATTAATTTACTGGTAATACAGTGAGGTTTTACGAGTGTGGTCAATGCCTTTCTCTTAGGAAGAAGGATAAACTGTGAATGATTGTATGATGTTATCCCATCCTAAATCACCAGGAGGCAGGGTAAAGGTATTACTGTAAAGCTAACATCTAGAGTGGTTCAGAAAAAAGCACCCCCTCTCCTTTTCCCAGCATTCCCTTTCCACACACTGTTGGTTGAGAGTGTCTGCTGCAGGAATGCTCTGCTGTCAGCTGTCCCCTGGTATCCTATGGCTACCCGATATAGCCTCCTTCAACCCCACCCCCTTCTCCTTCTTTCTCCTCCTTAGCCCCCCTCCCCCACCCAGTCTAAATTTGGTCATCTATGGCAGTAGAGGTTGATTTGAGGGGTGGGCACCTGCTGCGGAAGAGTCTCCTCTTCTAGCCTTACTTACATCAAATTACATTGGGCCTGAACATTCTTAAATCTCTCTCTCTCCATTTCACCCTCTTTCCCTCTCACTATCTCTCATGCCGCTCCAGTTGATGGAAAACTGCAGCACACTGTCACGTATACTCCCTCTCCGGCGTTCGAGGTCGCCAGTCTGCTCATTATTACGCACACCTGTCACCATCGTTACGCGCACCTGCGCCTCATGAGACTCACCTGGACTCCATCACCTTCCTGATTACCTCCCCTATATCTGTCACTCCCTTCCCCAGGCGTTATTGATTCTGTTCCTGTGTTTATGCGTAGACGTTACTGCTATGTTGTCTCGTTCTATGTTTGTTGTTTTATTAAACGTTTCACCTGCACCTGCTTCTCGACTCACAGCGTCTTCGTTACACACACGCTGAGTTTTTAAGCATATACATAAATACAAACAGATTGATCCTCACAACCTTCAACAGCTTCACCATGGGTTCAGTCCTTCCCTCAGACTCTCCTCTCTCTAGGTTCTTCCCTCAGACTCTCCTCTCTCTAGGTTCAGTCCTTCCCTCAGACTCTCCTCTCTCTAGGTTCTTCCCTCAGACTCTCCTCTCTCTAGGTTCAGTCCTTCCCTCAGACTCTCCTCTCTCTAGGTTCAGTCCTTCCCTCAGACTCTCCTCTCTCTAGGTTCAGTCCTTCCCTCAGACTCTCCTCTCTCTAGGTTCAGTCCTTCCCTCAGACTCTCCTCTCTCTAGGTTCAGTCCTTCCCTCAGACTGTCCTCTCTCTAGGTTCAGTCCTTCCCTCAGACTCTCCTCTCTCTAGGTTCAGTCCTTCCCTCAGACTCTCCTCTCTCTAGGTTCAGTCCTTCCCTCAGACTCTCCTCTCTCTAGGTTCTTCCCTCAGACTCTCCTCTCTCTAGGTTCAGTCCTTCCCTCAGACTCTCCTCTCTCTAGGTTCAGTCATTCCCTCAGTCTCCTCTCTCTAGGTTCAGTCCTTCCCTCAGACTCTCCTCTCTCTAGGTTCAGTCCTTCCCTCAGACTGTCCTCTCTCTAGGTTCAGTCCTTCCCTCAGACTCTCCTCTCTCTAGGTTCAGTCCTTCCCTCAGACTCTCCTCTCTCTAGGTTCAGTCCTTCCCTCAGACTCTCCTCTCTCTAGGTTCAGTCCTTCCCTCAGACTCTCCTCTCTCTAGGTTCAGTCCTTCCCTCAGACTCTCCTCTCTCTAGGTTCAGTCCTTCCCTCAGACTCTCCTCTCTCTAGGTTCAGTCCTTCCCTCAGACTCTCCTCTCTCTAGGTTCTTCCCTCAGACTGTCCTCTCTCTAGGTTCAGGCCTTCCTTCAGACTGTCCTCTCTAGGTTCAGTCCTTCCTTCAGACTGTCCTCTCTCAAGGTTCTTCCCTCTCAAAGTTCTTCTGACAGACAACTTCCGGACTTTATAGCGTTCCCAGAAAGCATGGATTATTGAGTCATTATTATTTTACACTTAAGACATGACTGCTGTGGTGCTGTGGAATTTGTGAATTTTGTCTCTTGTATAATAAATGCTATACATAAACTTATACTGGATTAAGCGTACATTTTCATTAACTGTAATTTCATTAGCTATACTCCAACATTCCCTCCATCTTGTGCCAACATCAGTTCTTTTTAAGTCTTGGTTCCAATAGTTAATATTTTTTTCTAAGAGATTGTCAGTTGGATATGCTCTCTGCTAGGTTTTGTATATCTTCCCTATCATATGAACAACATCCTTTTCTGACTCAAAGAAGATTCCCTCAAGGTTGCTCTGATGTCCCAAAAGATTTCAAATCCAAATGTCGTGATATGTAACTTTTAAGTTGCATGTATTTGAAACTATCTACATTTGTCAGTCCAAAATTACTTTTTAATTCTGTCATGGAAATACATGTATTTCCTGTTACCAAGTCAATTACCAGCTTCTACCCCCAAGCCATAAGACTCCTGAACAGCTAATCATGGCTACCCGGACTATTTGCACTGCCCCCCCACCCCATCCTTTTTACGCTGCTGCTACTCTGTTAAGTATTTATGCATAGTCACTTTAACTCTACCCACATGTACATATTACCTCAACTACCTCAACTAGCCGGTGCCCCCGCACATTGACTCTGCAACGGTACCCCCCTGTATATATAGCCTCCCTACTGTCACTTTATTTTACTTCTGCTCTTTTTTTCTCAACACTTTTTTTGTTGTTGTTTTATTCTTACTTTTTTTGTTTAAAATAAATGCACTGTTGGTTAAGGGCTGTAAGTAAGCATTTCACTGTATTGTCTGCACCTGTTGTATTCGGCGCATGTGACCAATAAAATTTGATTTGATTTGATTTGATTTGTATGCCTTTAGTTTTCCATGTGGATCAATATATCGGTGAATTCTGAAAAGCTATCCAAGGATTGATCCATAAGGTTGTGTTTTTAGGGAGTGATATTGGTTCTTGTATAATACATTTCATTTTCTTGCATATTGTTATAGTGTTCTTAACTATGAAGTTGTTTTATTGTCTTAACCAAATAAGAGAAAACATTTCTAAATATTTCTCTGCATATCTTTGGCAATCTTTTTTACTTTTTCTTCGCATTTTAGATATTGTGAACACTCCAAAGCCCAATGAGAAAGCCATCATGACCTATGTGTCCTGCTTCTATCATGCCTTTGCTGGAGCAGAGCAGGTGAGGCTTCCCTACTGACCACCATTCTACATAGCCTTTCCCCTTAGAGATCCAGCCTGGACATCCTGTCTGACCTCTGTTCTTGTGTCCTAGGCCGAGACAGCTGCCAATAGGTTCTGCAAGATGCTGGCTGTGAACCAGGAGAACGAGAAGCTGATGGAGTAGTATGTCAGTTTAGTTTGACCTGTTCTTGGTCCATTCCAAATAATGTCTCTGTGTTACGATGGCTTCAGTGCATACATATCTGTACTCCCCCCCCCCACATAGCTGCTGGAGTGGATCCGTTGCACCATCCCCTGGCTGGAGAACCGTGTGGCGGAGCAGACCATGCGCGCCATGCAGCAGAAGCTGGAGGACTTCCGTGACTACCGTCGCGTCCACAAGCCCCCCAAGGTCCAGGAGAAGTGTCAGCTGGAGATCAACTTTAACACCCTGCAGACCAAGCTGAGGCTGAGCAACAGGCCCGCCTTCATGCCTTCTGAGGGAAAGATGGTCTCGGTACGTCCCCCACAGTCACCCCCACACCACTTTCATTGATTCTGACTTTCACTCTCATTACCATCATCTGGTCAAGTCTGTTATGTTCTCTGTTCACTGAGCCCCTGGTTTCTCTTGGACCTCTGTCTCCTCTCATGACATTGCCAATGCCTGGAAGGGTTTGGAGCAGGTAGAGAAGGGTTATGAGGAGTGGCTGCTCACTGAGATCAGATGCCTGGAGAGACTAGACCACCTGGCGGAGAAGTTCAAACAGAAGTGTTCCCTGCATGAGTTCTGGACCTCAGGTGTGGGAAGTGGGGATGGAGACTCTCAATTATCTAAAATCAAGTGGAGGGTTTGTGTTAAGAAGGTTGTAAAAACCCTGCTCTAAACTTTGTGTAATAGTCAGTGTGTGTCTCTGTGGCCTTCAGGTAAGGTGGAGCTGCTCTCCATGAAGGACTATGAGTCTGCCTCTCTGATGGAGATCAGGGCTCTGATGAGGAAACACGAGGCGTTTGAGTCTGACCTGGCAGCACACCAGGACAGAGTGGAGCAGATCGCTGCCATCGCCCAGGTGCTCAAGTAAGGAGAAATGGAGAGAGAGCGAAAGAAAGAGAGAGACAGAGAAAGAAAGTAACTAGACGGAGAGTGACAGAGACTGAAAGACTGATCTAATGATAAAGATAGATAAAATGAAAGCGAGAGTGAGAAATAGAAGAGAATCACCCTTTTTTCTTTTGGTCTAAAATTACTCTGAGGGAATGCTATCTCCAATCTCATATTCTTCATGTCCTAGTGAGCTGGACTATCATGATGCTGTCACCATCAACACCCGCTGCCAGGTCATATGTGACCAGTGGGACAATCTGGGCACTCTGACCCAGAAGAGGAGAGACTCACTGGAGGTACCCTGGAGACAGACAGACATGACCCTATTTCAAACCTCCACATAACACTGTGACTTCCTGACCTCTACATAACTTACCCTACTTACAGAAATAGGCTTCAGATGTTATGTCCTTTTATTCAGCTTCCATACAAGTCCATAGTTTCCAGTTGATAACACTAAATGTATGTTTTTTCAGCGTGTGGAGAAGCTGTGGGAGACCATTGACCAGCTGTACCTGGAGTTTGCCAAGAGAGCAGCCCCCTTCAACAACTGGATGGATGGAGCCACGGAGGACTTACAGGACATGTTCATTGTTCACAGCATTGAGGAGATCCAGGTAGGAGGCAGAGAGAGGAAAGGGACATGATAGGAGGGGGGAGGGTAGCTAGGGGGGAGTGTAGCTAGGGAAGGGGGTAGCTAGTGGGGAGGGTAGCTAGGGGGGAGGGTAGCTAGGGGGGAGGATAGCTAGTGGGGAGGGTAGCTAGGGGGGAGTGTAGCTAGGGAGAGGGTAGCTAGGGGGGAGGGTAGCTAGTTTGTGATATCCTCATTACATTCATTTATTATTCCTTCCTCCACTTTCTCCACTTCATAATTCTCTGTGCTCCTCCTCTTTATTCACTGCTGCTTCTTTTCCTGGCTGATCCTATTCTTCCTTTCTCCTCCTCCTCCTCCTCCTCCTCCTCCCTCCTCCTCCTCCTCCTCAGAGTCTGATTACAGCCCACGACCAGTTCAAGGCCACCCTACCGGAGGCTGATAAGGAGCGCATGGCCACCATGGGCATCCAGAGTGAGATTGTGAAGATCGCTCAGACCTACGGCATCAAGCTGTCAGGAATTAACCTCTACACCGTCCTCTCCCCCCAGAACATCACCAACAAGTGGGATGCTGTGAGTACATGTTCATCTCTTTGATATTGTCTACTCAGGGAGTGAGATGACCCCTCTCGTTCTAAGGCTGAGCATTGAACAACTCAATGGAACAATGCTTTGGTTATCATTCAGTCTTTAACACTAATCCATCAGGATACATCAAGCTCCAGGTCCAGTCATCAACTTTGTACCTCCTTTGTTAAACTTTGTAGAGTTTTGATCAGCTTTGCCCGTCCTTTATCTGTGGTGTGCAGGTGAAACACCTGGTGCCCCTCAGGGACCAGATGCTGCAGGAGGAGGTGGCCAGGCAGCAGTCCAACGAGAGGCTGAGGCGCCAGTTTGCTGCCCAGGCCAACATCATTGGACCCTGTATTCAGACCAGGATGGAGGTACAGTAACGCCCGACAACTCCCACTCAAACTCACTCTTCATTAGATTATCCCAGAGCTGTTTATAACTGTTCAAGCATATCCTCTCAAGACAAAGTAAATTAATCCTGGTATTAACACAACTTTTATGTGATGTGTATACATGTTTTTATTGATTCTATGGAACCCAGGCTCCCTGGAAAAAAGTGGCAATTCTTAATGAGTGGATTATCCTGGCTAAATAAATACAATTAAATGAATGAATGGTGGTCCTCTGTAGCTTTGATGGTTGAGCATGGCATTTGCAACACCAGGATAGTGGGTTTGATTCCGGGGACGTAAAATGACTATTGCTTTGGATAAAAGTGTCTGCTAAATAGCATATATTACATTATATTATTGATGAACTGTCATTGTACTCTGTATATGTCCCACTAACACAACACCTCTCTCCTCCTGTAGGAGATCAGCCATGTGTCTGTGGACATCGCCGGCTCCCTGGAGGAACAGATGAGAAACCTGAAGCAGTACGAGCAGAACATCATCAACTACAAGTGTAACATCTACAAGCTGGAGGGAGATCACCAGCTTAGCCAGGAAGGACTCATCTTCGACAAGCACACCAACTATACCATGGAGGTACTGCCACAGGCTTCCTCTCTCTCTGTCTCTCTCTCTCTCTCTCTCTCTCTCTTCTCTCTCGCTCTGCTGGTTCTCTCTCCTCTCCTCTCTCTCGCTCTGTCTCTCTCTCTCGATCTCGCGCTTCTACTCTCTCTCTCTCTCTCTCTCTTGCGCTCTCTCTCTGCTCTCTCTCTCTCCTCTCTCACGCCTCTTTCTTCTCCCTGTATCTCTCTCTGTCTTTCTCTATCTCTCTCTCTCTCTCTCTCTCTGTCTTTCGCTCTCTCTGTGGCTTTCTCTCTCTGTCTGTCTGTACGGTCTTCCGATTCTAATCCTGTATTCTCCTCTCTCCTCCTCTCAGCATGTGCGTGTGGGCTGGGAGCAGCTCCTGACCACCATCGCCCGCACCATCAACGAGGTGGAGAACCAGATCCTGACCCGCGACGCCAAGGGAATCAGCCAGGAGCAGCTCAACAAGTTCAGAGCCTCCTTCAACCACTTTTACAGGGTAATACGGACCTTGAGCTTGCCTGTCAAAGTCATATTTAATATCTTTCCGTCCTTGTGGCTTAGTGATCTTTGTTTTTCCTTTGTAGAAGAGAAATGGCATGATGGATCCAGATGACCTCCGTGCCTGTCTCATCTCCATGGGCTATGATCTGGTGAGGGGGACTGCTTCAGGACCCAGTCATTTGGGGCAATGGACATGCGTTGGTTTCTGTATGTGAGTAATTATTTGTTGTACTCAAATAACCCTGTCTTCCTTTTGCTCTCACTCTCTCTCTGTGTGGCCCTCAGGGTGAGGTAGAGTTTGCCCGCATCATGATGCTGGTGGATTCCAACAACAGGTGTGGTCACCTTCCAGGCCTTCATCGACTTCATGACCCGCGAGACAGATACCGCCGACCAGGTCATGGCCTCCTTCAAGATCCTGGCCTCCGACAAGGTGAGTTGGGCAGAACCATTAAATCAAATCAAATCAAATCAAATGTTATTGGTCACATGTGCCGAATACAACAGGTGCAGACATTACAGTGAAATGCTCACTTACAGCCCTTAACCAACAGTGCATTTATTTTTTACAAAAAAAGTAAAAATAAAACAACAACAACAAAAAGTGTTGAGAAAAAAAAGAGCAGAAGTAAAATAAAATAACAGTAGGGAGGCTATATATATACATGGGGGTACCGTTGCAGAGTCAATGTGCGGGGGCACCGGCTAGTTGAGGTAGTTGAGGTAATATGTACATGTGGGTAGAGTTAAAGTGACTATGCATAAATAATTAACAGAGTAGCAGCAGCGTAAAAAGGATGGGGTGGGGGGGCAGTGCAAATAGTCCGGGTAGCCATGATTAGCTGTTCAGGAGTCTTATGGCTTGGGGGTAGAAGCTGTTGAGAAGTCTTTTGGACCTAGACTTGGCACTCCGGTACCGCTTGCCGTGCGGTAGCAGAGAGAACAGTCTATGACTAGGGTGGCTGGAGTCTTTGACAATTTTGAGGGCCTTCCTCTGACACCGCCTGGTATAGAGGTCCTGGATGGCAGGAAGCTTGGCCCCAGTGATGTACTGGGCCGTACGCACTACCCTCTGTAGTGCCTTGTGGTCGGAGGCCAAGCAGTTGCCATACCAGGCGGTGATGCAACCAGTCAGGATGCTCTCGATGGTGCAGCTGTAGAATTTTTTGAGGATCTGAGGACCCATGCCAAATCTTTTCAGTCTCCTGAGGGGGAATAGGCTTTGTCGTGCCCTCTTCACGACTGTCTTGGTGTGTTTGGACCACATGAAGTAACAGTTCATTTCAACCATTGATTTAGGTTGTTTTGTAATGTCCGTGTTGTGACCCCTGATGACCTTTGTTGACCTGTGTCCTCCCCTCCCAGAGATACATCACAGTGGAAGAACTGCGCAGGGAGCTGCCCCCAGAGCAGGCAGACTACTGCGTCAGCCGCATGACCAGGTACTTTGGCAGCGACGCGCCCCCAGGCGCCCTGGACTACATCTCCTTCTCCAGTGCCCTGTACGGAGAGAGCAACTTATAAACACAACCCAGACACCCTCCTGTCCATACCCACATACAAAACACACACACGTCCCCCCAAAAATCCCAATCCCACCCAACTCTAAGACCACCCGCACAACTCACTGGGAGGCTTTTCTCTGATCCCCTGGACTTCATTCATAAGACCTCCTGTAGCTCAGTTGGTAGAGCATGGTGCTTGCAACGCAAGGGTTGTGGGTTCGTTTCCCACGGGGGAACATTTTTGCGCTCACTAACTGTAAGTCGCTCTGGATAAGAGCGTCTGCTAAATGACTAAAATGTAAAAATTAGTGACCTTGTCTGGTCAACTCAACCAAGAACTCAGGCAAATATGAACTTTCACAATATAAGGATTCCTGTATGCATCACTGTCTGCAGTTTATGATTTGCAATGTTTGACCCAACAAGGCCACTGTAGACTGTGAGTAGTTAAACTAAGGCACTCATATCAGGACTTTTAAAAAGTGCTTTTTATTCTCATTGACTAGGGCACTAGGAGCAAAGTCTCCCTCTCATACTCACTCAGGCGACATTTGTTTGGAAAAAATTTAAATAAATAAAGTACTTTAAGTCAGCTGATTGTGAATCCAGACTCTGTCGTAGCCGGCCGCGACCGGGAGACCCATGGGGCGGCGCGCAATTGGCCCAGTGTCGTCCAGGGTAGGGGAGGGAATGGCCGGCAGGGATGTAGCTCAGTTGATAGAGCATGGCGTTTGCAACGCCAGGGTTGTGGGTTCGATTCCCACAGGGGGTATGAAAAAAAAATAATGTATGCACTAACTAACTGTAAGTCGCTCTGGATAAGAGCGTCTGCTAAATGACTAAAATGTAAAACTGTAAATGAATGGTGCTGATGCATGCTATTTTATGTCACAAGTTCCACCCAACTCTCTTGTTCTACTGAGCTGTGAGATCATCGCTGTCAATGTTAGGTTTTGGGGCGAAGTCACTACATCAAATGTAACTACTTGCAGATGTAAAGTATCTCAGGGTATCGTCCGGAATGTATTGGTGTGTTCTGGCCAAGACAGCGTGGGGGAACTGAGGCTAGAGGAGAATGAAGGGATGAAGTACTGCATTAGATATTATTCTTCCTCCACTGGTCAAGTCCAACTGTGGAGAAGAATAGAGAAGGCGGTAGGAGAGTGCTTAAGTTGAGAGGTTCAGCATGCAGTAGAACATGACGGTATTAGGACATGGGATATAGAGGGACAATGAGACAAACCTCAATCCATCACGTTAGTGTCATATGCATGCCAAGTAGCATGTGGAATGTATGCTCTGATTGTGAGGAGCAGAAAGTTGGGAGACATTTACAGATGGATACTAGATAGGCATCTCAACTGAATAAAGTGCTTGAGCACAACTGTCCTAATGTTCTCCTGGTTCTGAGTTGATGTCCTTATTGTTAGTTGCTCTCATCCTATGCTTGCCCATAACCTCTCAGCTTTACAATAGCTTCCATTTTCCCAACCCATGCACCGTACACCCTTCTCTACCTCTCGCAATATTAATTCCTCTTTAACAGATACTTGACATTGATCTTTGGTACAACAGCTTACCGGTTAAAAAAAAAAGCCCAACTCCTCAGTCTCCTGAAGATAGTGTGGAAAGAAGGTAATGGGATTGCCTCTGGCGCAAGGCTTCAACAAGAGCATGAGGTGTTTGGCTCTGAAGAGATCATCCGACCCCATCCATGTCCTCCACCCACAATGTAAGATCCACTTGTCATCAGATACGTTTTTGACTAGTAGATACAAGGATGCATTTGTTACAGATACACTTTAATTTTCATTTGATTTATTGACGTGATTAGTCATAATTCCTTGTCTTGAACTTCTTGTACGTTTCCTTCTTCTAAGCTTTAATGACAAGACAGTCTTCCATCTCTAACAATGAATCATCGTTAAACAAAAATCCATTAGTCCAAGCAACAATAGAAAAACAAGTGTAAGTCGTGATCATTTATTTATTCAGTTTAAAAGGACATGTCAATATTTTTGAAAGATGACCTCATAATGATGGATGACACCAAAGCTCCATTTCAAGCATATCATTGTGACAAAAGGGCATATGCAGTGCTCAAACTATAGTACATGTACCATATAAACATACATGTTTGACCACCACAAGCTTTGATGTAGACAATTCTGCAAATCTGTGTTGATTTCTGTAGTGTTTTAAGTGTTTATTTCTATGACAACCCATGTCTATATGCACACAAATTCACAAGCATTTGGGGTTCTCACACACACGCTTGTGCCACACACACACACACACACACACACACACACACACACACACACACACACACACACACACACAAAAGTAACCAACTCACAGAAAAATTATGAATCAATGTAGAAAGTAAGGCTTTCTGAAAACAGGTCCAATTATTACAAAGTATTTCTATAAATAACTTTTGTTATTGTTATATGAAATGTGCTTCACTTGACACTCTGCTTGAGATAAAGTACAAAAACACTCCAACACAGCCACAAGAACAGCAGCAGTTAATGTTGTCAATCCACTGAAGGAAACCCAATACAAAGTGCCAAAGCATATGAAAGAGGAAAAAAACATCTCAAACAAGCCAACTCGTTATATTGTATCTTGAACACACTTTAGAAAATAGGATGATGGCAAGAGGAAGAGAAACTCCAGCATCAAATCTCTCAGAATAAATAACTGAGATTATGGCCTCTTCTTAGTGGTGTTAATCCATGTCATCATGTAACAACTCTCCTTAGTCATGTAACAACTCTCCTTAGTCATGTAACAACTCTCCTTAGTCATGTAACAACTCTCCTTAGTCATGTAACAACTCTCCTTAGTCATGTAACAACTCTCCTTAGTCATGTAACAACTCTCCTTAGTCATGTAACAACTCTCCTTAGTCATGTAACAACTCTCCTTAGTCATGTAACAACTCTCCTTAGTCATGTAACAATAATCCTTAGTCATGTAACAATAATCCTTAGTCAATGGCTTTCTGTCCAGTGCCCTCCAGTTTAGACAGCTGATAATATGACGCCCAGGAAGCTCAGAGTGAGTGGCCATGTCTGGGTTGGCCTCTAGGTGGAGGACTTGTCTGGGTTGGCCTCTAGGTGGAGGTCTTGTCTGGGTTGGCCTCTAGGTGGAGGTCTTGTCTGGGTTGGCCTCTAGGTGGAGGTCTTGTCTGGGTTGGCCTCTAGGTGGAGGTCTTGTCTGTGTTGGCCTCTAGGTGGAGGTCTTGTCTGGGTTGGCCTCTAGGTGGAGGTCTTGTCTGTGTTGGCCTCTAGGTGGAGGTCTTGTCTGGGTTGGCCTCTAGGTGGAGGTCTTGTCTGGGTTGGCCTCTAGGTGGAGGTCTTGTTGTAGCCAAACAGCCCCACTGGCAGGTACTTCACATGGGTGGGCCACTGGGCAGCCAGCTGGAAGAACTTGACATCAGTCCACTCCACGCCGTCAACAGACACTGAAAAATAACCAATAGTTCCACGACTCCCATCTACAAGCACCTAAAAACAACCAATCATGTTGAAGCTGAGCCTAGACGGGTTCAGTGTACCTTTTAGGCTGGTCTGCTGCTGCTTGGTAGAACAGATGAGTCTGGTGATGCCCTCAACCACCTGGCTTTTACAGTCTACATCCCTCTCTTTGGGCTTCTTGCCCAGGAATATAGTGGAGACTGTGGATATGGAGGAGATTAACACTAAAACACTTAACAACAGCATGTATCAATTGCAAGGTTCTCATTCTAGTTATTTATTACATTCTCTACACTAAATTAGGTGTTGGACAAACTGCATGTGGTGGACAGTCCGCAATTTCCCTACTCCTAGTCCAGCCGTCCTCCTCACCTTTCCATTTCCCTACTCCTACTCCAGCCGTTCTCCTCACCTTTCTATTTCCCTACTCCTAGTCCAGCCGTCCTCCTCACCTTTCTATTTCCCCATTCCTAGTCCAGCCGTTCTCCCCACCTTTCTATTTCCCTACTCCTAGTCCAGCCGTCCTCCTCACCTTTCTATTTCCCTACTCCTAGTCCAGCCGTCCTCCTCACCTTTCCATTTCCCTACTCCTAGTCCAGCCGTTCCTCACCTTTCTATTTCCCTACTCCTAGTCCAGCCGTCCTCCTCACCTTTCCATTTCCCTACTCCTAGTCCAGCCGTTCTCATCACCTTTCTATTTCCCCATTCCTAGTCCAGCCGTTCTCCTCACCTTTCTATTTCCCCATTCCTAGTCCAGCCGTTCTCCCCACCTTTCTATTTCCCTACTCCTAGTCCAGCCGTTCTCCTCACCTTTCTATTTCCCTACTCCTAGTCCAGCCGTCCTCCTCACCTTTCTATTTACATTTGTACATTTTTTATTTTTTAAATTTTAAAATGTTTTAGTCATTTAGCAGACGCTCTTATCCAGAGCGACTTACAGTTAGTGAGTGCATACAATTTCATACTGGCCCCCCGTGGGAAACAAACCCACAACCCTGGCGTTGCAAGCGCCATGCTCTACCAACTGAGCTACAGGGGACTACTCCTAGTCCAGCCGCCCTCCTCACCTTTCTATTTCCCTACTCCTAGTCCAGCCGTCCTCCTCACCTTTCTTGTTCTTCTCCTTGGTGACCACAGTCATGGCCATGGTGTTGGCCTGGGGCTGGTTCTCAGTGGAGCCCCCTCCTGGAAGCCTGCTGACCTGCAGGGAACGGAAGGCACTCTTCAGAGTGTTCTTGGAGCCCTTGTCACACCTCTCTCCATCCTTCTTCCGCTCTGAGCATGTTGCTACCCAGTAATCCACCGTCAGCCCAATGGTGTCCACCCCATGGGACATATTAGGGCTCCTGGTAGAGAGGGAGCGAGAGGCAGAGGGTGTAAGAAAAACAACTCTTGTTCAACAATGTACTAAAACTTGGGTTTAACTGCAGGGATGGGAATGAACTGTTCATATCAGACTGTTGTACGCTGTGGTTGTCTTACCCCAGTCCGCTGCTCAGGGAGGGAGACGGGGGTGGGGTGACAGCCTCTCTGGTCATCCCTGTGGGAGATCCATGAGAGGGTGGGGAGGTGGAGGGAACAGCCAAGCTAACACTAACAGCCTCCTCAGTGTCTCCACCTGTAGGCCCAAATCAACACAGTCCTTAACACTGCCCAGGGACAGTCTGGAGAGAGAAAGGTGAACATCAACAGACATTATAAACTGGGTTGTTCGAGCCCTGAATGCTGATTGGCTGACAGCCGTGGTATATCAGACCGTATACCACGGGTATGACAAAATATTTATTTTTACTGCTCTAATTACGTTGGTAACCAGTTTATAATAGCAATAAGGCACCTCGGGGGTTTGTGGTATATGGCCAATATACTACGGCTAAGGGCTGTATCCAGGCCATATACCATCCCCCCCAGGCCTTATTGCTTAAATAGGTAGTCCAGAAATATGAACCCACCTGAATACGCCAGATTCGGTTCAATCAACCCTACTTTCACCATCTGTTTCACACACAGGGATCAGTTAGTCAGTATCAGCCTTACACTCCAGAGATGACTTGGGAATAGTTTGGATATCCCTTATCTGTTGGTTTACATTGCTTAATAATTCAACAGGAGTTATGGTTGAGTTACAGGCATTATTTGCCAAACAGACTGCCTCAACATCAGTATCGATGAAAACCATCAGTACTGATTTACTTACCCCAACGAAAGGAACAAACTTCTGGTAAGAGTCTTCGTCATATCTGGTAGGGTGAAAATAATGGGTGGCCAATAAAATATGTTCTTCCTGGTTAACATTAAGATATAAATAAGCCACGCAAGACACTCCACTCACCTCTTGTACTTGCAGGTGAGCATGGCCTCAGCGATAGGCAGCTGGTGTGTGACAGAGACGCTGCTGATGTACCGTCTGATCCTCCCTGCCACGTCCACTCCGTCTGCAGCTGGAGCCGAGGGGAGGGGAACAGACAGTAAGGCTGAGTCAATCTGTAGGGAGAGCAAGGCTGACTGGATCTGAACTGACTAGGCCCCTAGCTAAAGAAGATATGGGGCAGCTTGCACTTGTTTTCTAGTCTAATTTATATGCTGATCAAGTTCCCAAAGGCACACGCTTGAATACTACCAGCTCAGTAGGATAAGTGTTATACAGAGGGGAGAGAGAGAGAGAGAGAGAAGAATAAAGGGTGGTAGAAGAGAGAGAATGAAAGAAAGAGAGAGAGAGAGATTTACTGGAGTGAGGGGGCTCCAGGCGGCTGAACAGATCTTTCCAGGCATTGTCCAGGAACACAGAGCTGTAGCGAGGGTCCAGGGAGGCCAGGTGCTTGGCTACGGGGTGACAGCCTGGAGGCAGAGTAGAGGTAGCCACATAGTGAGTCACGGTTCATACACCCAACCGTCTCAGTACTGCAGCACTGAGCAGCCCACTGTACTGCGGCACTGAGCAGCCCACTGTACTGCGGCACTGAGCAGCCCACTGTACTGCGGCACTGAGCAGCCCACTGTACTGCGGCACTGAGCAGCCCACTGTACTGCGGCACTGAGCAGCCCACTGTACTGCGGCACTGAGCAGCCCACTGTACTGCGGCACTGAGCAGCCCACTGTACAGCGGCACTGAGCAGCCCACTGTACTGCGACACTGAGCAGCCCACTGTACTGCGGCACTGAGCAGCCCACTGTACTGCGCTTCAGCTGCATGGGGTATAATGAGTGGAGCAGCCCACTGCCAGGAGGAGTTATCAGAACATGAGAGTGGCGTTTTTTGTAAATCTTTGTTTACGCTTCAGCTGAATAGGCTTATAAATAAGCATTACGTAACCATAACACTAGATATGTACCGTACTGTGTCTCACAGCAGTCACATTGTATAATGACTATCTTCTAGACCCAAGCAATGTGTTAAATGGTATATACTCTCAGGAGATGAACCCATCTCTCTCTTACCCAGGGGGACCACCAGGAAGTGGATGAGGCTGAGCCAATCAGATGTTTTGTTGGCCAGCTGAGTGACAAAGAAGTGTAGGATGGCCCCCAGGTAGCTCTGTCCCCCTGCCACCACCACCTTGACCGGCCGCGGCGCGGACGAGTTACAGTTACAGCTGCAGGGAGGGGTCAGGTTACTGGAGCTCATCATAGGTCACCTTCATTACTACACAATGAATTCAACACACATAAAGTGTGTAGAAATTGAACCTTTGGCTACTCACAACTTCTGGATGCGTGTGAGGAGGGTGGTGAGGACAGCCTGAATCTCCACCCCACAGCAGGTACACACTACTGGCTGCTTCTGGGCCAGCAGCACCTCGGACACATACTACACACGTTTACCAGAGGACGCAAACATATAGATACAGATTAACACACATACAGTGGGGGAAAAAAGTATTTAGTCAGCCACCAATTGTGCAAGTTCTCCCACTTAAAAAGATGAGAGAGGCCTGTAATTTTCATCATAGGTACACGTCAACTATGACAGACAAAATGAGAAAAAAAAATCCAGAAAATCACATTGTAGGATTTTTAATGAATTTATTTGCAAATTATGGTGGAAAATAAGTATTTGGTCAATAACAAAAGTTTCTCAATACTTTGTTATATACCCTTTGTTGGCAATGACACAGGTCAAACGTTTTCTGTAAGTCTTCACAAGGTTTTCACACACTGTTGCTGGTATTTTGGCCCATTCCTCCATGCAGATCTCCTCTAGAGCAGTGATGTTTTGGGGCTGTCGCTGGGCAACACGGACTTTCAACTCCCTCCAAAGATTTTCTATGGGGTTGAGATCTGGAGACTGGCTAGGCCACTCCAGGACCTTGAAATGCTTCTTACGAAGCCACTCCTTCGTTGCCCGGGCGATGTGTTTGGGATCATTGTCATGCTGAAAGACCCAGCCACGTTTCATCTTCAATGCCCTTGCTGATGGAAGGAGGTTTTCACTCAAAATCTCACGATACATGGCCCCATTCATTCTTTCCTTTACACGGATCAGTCGTCCTGGTCCCTTTGCAGAAAAACAGCCCCAAAGCATGATGTTTCCACCCCCATGCTTCACAGTAGGTATGGTGTTCTTTGGATGCAACTCAGCATTCTTTGTCCTCCAAACACGACGAGTTGAGTTTTTACCAAAAAGTTCTATTTTGGTTTCATCTGACCATATTACATTCTCCCAATCCTCTTCTGGATCATCCAAATGCACTCTAGCAAACTTCAGACGGGCCTGGACATGTACTGGCTCAAGCAGGGGGACACGTCTCGCACTGCAGGATTTGAGTACCTGGCGGCGTAGTGTGTTACTGATGGTAGGCTTTGTAACTTTGGTCCCAGCTCTCTGCAGGTCATTCACTAGGTCCCCCCATGTGGTTCTGGGATTTTTGCTCACCGTTCTTGTGATCATTTTGACCCCACGGGGTGAGATCTTGCGTGGAGCCCCAGATCGAGGGAGATTATCAGTGGTCTTGTATGTCTTCCATTTCCTAATAATTGCTCCCACAGTTGATTTCTTCAAACCAAGCTGCTTACCTATTGCAGATTCAGTCTTCCCAGCCTGGTGCAGGTCTACAATTTTGTTTCTGGTGTCCTTTGACAGCTCTTTGGTCTTGGCCATAGTGGAGTTTGGAGTGTGACTGTTTGAGGTTGTGGACAGGTGTCTTTTATACTGATAACAAGTTCAAACAGGTGCCATTAATACAGGTAACGAGTGGAGGACAGAGGAGCCTCTTAAAGAAGAAGTTACAGGTATGTGAGAGCCAGAAATCTTGCTTGTTTGTAGGTGACCAAATACTTATTTTCCACCATAATTTGCAAATAAATTCATTAAAAATCCAACAATGTGATTTTCTGGATTTTTTTTCTCAATTTGTCTGTCATAGTTGACGTGTACCTATGATGAAAATTACAGGCCTCTCTCATCTTTTTAAGTGGGAGAACTTGCACAATTGGTGGCTGACTAAATACTTTTTTCCCCCACTGTACTACACACATTTACCAGAGGACACAAACATATAGATACAGATTAACACACATACGCAAGTAAATATGTACACAGGGAGTGGAGAAGTGAGGGATGATGGTGAAGATAGAAAGGAAGGAGTGAAGGAGTGAAGGATACCTGTCCCTGCCAATCACTGGTGTTGACCAGGACCAGGCTGTCTGGGAGGGTAGTGTCTGAGGAGAAGATCTGATTCAGCTGGTCATACACAGCCTTCCTGGGCACCTACCAACACACACACACACACACACACACACAAATACACGTGCGCGTTCGCCAGTCAAATACTGGGCGCACACATGCTTCAATGAAATAGATCAATGCAACAGGATCCCTACCAGTCAGAATCACCCTCTGCAAACAGAGAATCCCCATTTAAGGACTTAGCTCCAGGGTGAGTATGGGTACGGACTAGTGGACTGGCTCTGGTTAGGGTCAGGGGTCACCTGTGGGGTGTGGCTGAGCTCTGGTGACCTCTCGCTGTCAGAGCTGTTGGTGCGTTCGCTCAGTGGTTTGGACAGCGCTCGCCTCTCCTTCATTGGTGTCCCACGTCTCTGCTTGGGTCTGTTCTCGCCATCCAACCTGGAACACACACTCACTCACTGGTGAAATGCACATGCAGAGTCAGTGCCCACACAGACACTATGACATAAAGTGTGGAGTGCATGTGTAGCACTGACAGGTTTTTTGTGTGTGTAAGGCGTCCGCATGCTTCCCATCCAAAACAATTCGGAACCGTTTTGTGCATATATTATGACAACATTTTGTGACGTTTTTGTTTGTTTTGGTCTTCGGCAAGGTTTTTTTTGGTAGCCGAAATCTACGCCCCTTCGTCGATCATTGGTCAACAGTAGGGATTCTTCAATAAAGTCTGTTGTCATTCAACAAGAGACGGCTCGTTTTCATGCACATTCTTCATTGAGAAATACTGCACCAAACATCTTAGTTAGATGTGAAATTGTGCAACTAAGATCTCCTCTGCAAAAACTTCAAAATTAATGACAGATTTCTTGAGTTAGCTTACATTCATTCTGACTATTTTGAGGAAGTGTATACTGGCTACGGCTTCTCAAGATGGACAAACAGTACTATTGCCGTTTTTTTCCAAAATGTCCAAGCAAAGGTCTTTTATGGGAGTATGCGAGGACACTCGTTTCGGTTTTAGGCACCAGTCGAACGGAAGCATGCAGAAGCTTTTAGACTGACCTGGGGGAGGGCATGGTGGTGTGAGGCATGGTGGTGTGGTTCTCACTCTTGCTACTCCTCAGTTCCCTCATTGGGGTCCTGGGTAGCTGCCCTGCGACAGAGACGGTGATGCAGACAGTTGTGTCCAGTAACCCCTCTGGATCAGTCAGCTCCTAAACAAACCAACAGACCTGTGATGGGCTGTTCGGCTCTCTTCACTGACTCAGGTCTTTTCGACTCGTTCAGTCAAAAGCACAAATCGTTCAACTAATTTTGTTCATTTGAGTCAGTCACGCCCAGAGCATGCAGGACCCCCTACTGGCGAACGATGAACTACGAGCCTCTCGTTCACCATAGAGGGCTTATTGGAGCTGTCATTTGTGACGGAGACTTGTGAAACTTTAAACAATGTACATTTGTTGACTGTAAGGCATCCAAATAAGATTATTTCTAGATACATTTGAAACAAGGTCTAGTTGTGTCCGCAACCGGACTAGATTGCGAACGACTCTTGGTAGAATGCATTGCTTGACTGCTGTGGGTGATAAACACAGTCGTTCGCAAATTGCAGCCCCCCCCCAAACGTTTTGTTCTCGCGTTCTCGTTGAGCAGAGGCAGTGTATGTTTTGGTTTTACAAAGCTGTGTCAATCATAACTTCAATAATCAATTAATTGCAGTCCTTCTTGCACCATGCGATCAATTATCAGTTATAAACATGTATTTTTCTTCTCTATGTCATGATCTATTTTTCTGTTCCTATATGACAGACAGTTGGTGGTAGGAGCACGTCTCTGGAGCTGCTGTCGGAGGAGCATGTATTCATCCTGCTGTAGGCCTCATTATGGCCAGTAATAGCAAGTCAAACAAATTACTAAAACGAAAAACGAGTCATGACTCGAGTCCGTAAAAATAATTGTTCAAAATGAACAAATCGTTTGCGAACTGCACATCACTACAACAGACAGCCAACAGACAGACAGACAGACAGACAGACAGAAACACCTCATAACACTGAAATGCACAGGCCACCAATGAGAGAGGGAGCATAAGAGAGCAGGGAAAACAGAGTGTGTGGGGAGTTGGAGGCTCTCACATGGGTGTCTGTCTCAGAGTCATCCAGGTTGCGGGAGCGAGTGCGTTTCATCTTGCCTGATTGGGGCTGCTCTCCTTGCTGCAAGTCAGACAGCAGGAAAACAGTGGTCAGAGGGAGTGCAGGGGGACATCTGGACTTAGACGGCCAGCTATCTGTACTGTTCTCTAGTGTCCTCTACTCTAACTGTACTGTACTCTAACTGTACTGTACTCTAACTGTACTGTACTCTAACTGTACTGTACTCTAACTGTACTGTACTCTAACTGTACTGTACTCTATCTGTACTGTACTCTAACTGTACTGTACTCTAACTGTACTGTACTCTAACTGTACTGTACTCTAGTGTACTGTACTCTAGTGTCCTGTACTCTAACTGTACTGTTCTCTAGTGTCCTCTACTCTACCTGTACTGTACTCTAACTGTACTCTAGTGTCCTCTACTCTAACTGTACTGTACTCTATCTGTACTGTACTCTAACTGTACTGTACTCTAACTGTACTGTACTCTAACTGTACTGTACTCTAGTGTACTGTACTCTAACTGTACTGTTCTCTAGTGTCCTCTACTCTACCTGTACTGTACTCTAACTGTACTCTAGTGTCCTCTACTCTAACTGTACTGTACTCTACTTTAACTGTACTCTAACTGTACTGTACTCTAACTGTACTGTACTCTAACTGTACTGTACTCTAACTGTACTGTACTCTAACTGTACTGTACTCTATCTGTACTGTACTCTAGTGTCCTCTACTCTAACTATACTCTACTCTAACTGTACTCTAACTGTATTGTACTGTACTGTACTCTAACTGTACGGCACTCTACCTGTACTGTACTCTAACTGTACTCTACTCTAACTGTATTGTACTGTACTCTACTCTAACTATACTCTACTCTAACTGTATTGTACTGTACTCTAACTGTACGGCACTCTACCTGTACTGTACTCTAACTGTACTGTATTCTAGTGTCCTCTACTCTAACTGTACTCTACTCTAACTGTACTCTAACTGTATTGTATTGTACTCTAACTGTACTCTAACTGTATTGTATTGTACTGTACTCTAACTGTACTGTACTCTAACTGTACTGTACTCTACTCTAACTGTACTGTACTCTAACTGTACTCTAACTGTATTGTATTGTACTGTACTGTACTCTAACTGTACTGTACTGTACTGTACTCTAACTGTACTGTACTCTAACTGTACTGTACTCTAGTGTCCTCTACTCTAACTGTACTGTACTCTAGTGTCCTCTACTCTAACTGTACTGTATTCTAGTGTCCTCTACTCTAACTGTACTGTACTCTACTCTAACTGTATTGTACTTTACTCTATTCTACTGTACTCTCACTGTATTCTACTTTAACTGTACTCTAACTGTACTGTACTCAACTCTAACTGTACTGCACTCTACTCTAATTGTACTGTACTGTACTCTAACTGTACTCTAGTGTCCTCTACTCTAACTGTATTGTACTCTACTTTAACTGTACTCTAACTGTAGTGTACTGTACTATAACTGTACTGTACTCTACTCTAACTGTACTCTATTCTACTGTACTCACTGGGCTCAGAGTGTCTCTGGGTAGACTGCACCTGCTGTTCAGACTGCCAAACTCGGTCTGCGAGCTGGACTGGGATATGCCCTCAAAGAAGGGCCTGGACGGTCAGAGAGAGTAGAGGTCACCAGAGTTCTGTCAGGTGGATGTTTGTGAGAACATACATTTGTGTTAGCTATAGATAAGTCTGATGTATCATGACCTGAGCTTGGGTTTGGGTGTGCTGAGGATGCTGTCCGTCTCCTCCATCTCTGGGCCACTATCACTGGGGTTGTACATCTCCAGACTGTCATAGAGCTCATCCAGATCCTCCTCCACATCACGGATGTGCTCCTGGGACACGTGCTTCAGGCCAAAGTCCACTTCATCAGACACCTTAAACCTCTTCAACAAGGCCACAAACTTCTGCTTGATGTTGGGCTGCCGGGTTAAAGGAACATGTAGATATCAAACTGGGTGACTAGAAGAGTGCCAGGTAATCATAACAGCACAGAGAGACAGATCAGATGACTGAATGCTTACATGACCTCTGGTGATGGAGGCTGCAGAGGTGAGTTTGCGTCTGTGCTTCTTCTTCCTCATGTCATCTTCTTCGTCGAACAGATACTGAAACAGAGGGAGGATCAACTTAGTGGTCAAACTGGACAGACACTCCATCCAAACTCCATTTAAACCTGTTTTCCCCCCTCTCCTCCTCCTCCTCCCTACCTGGATGTCAGCAGGGTCATCACTCCCGTCCTGCTCTGATGAATAGCTCTCCTCCTCTTCCTCAGAGTAGTTGTCAATGTCAGGGGAGCGGTCTGTGAGTTACAGGGAGCCAGAGAGGAGATACGTTATATATGGGGAGGGGATGAGAGGAAGAGGGGGGAGGGGGAAAAGGACGAGGGGGAGGAGAAGTGTCACGGATTCTGCCGAGGCTGCTCCTCCTCCTTGTTCGGGCAGGCTTCGGCGTTCGTCATCCCCGGAGTACTAGCTGCCACCGTTGAATGTTTCTATGTTTGATTGCTTTTGTCTGTCCATTGCACCTGTGTCCGTTTGTGTCTGATTATGTGTTCTATAAGTTTCCTGTTTTGTATTGGTTAGGTTGTGTGTTGTTATTCGCCTGTCCGTTAGTGCTGCGTGTTCTTTCTGTTTATTGTTTTGTTAGTTTACGCACAGTCTGCGTAATCGTTCGCCTCTGTTTGTGTTTGAGGCCGTTCATTGTATTGTGCTTGGGTTTTTGCACTAGTAAACGTTGTTGGACTAAGCTTCGGTGTCCTGCGCCTGACTCCCGCACCACATTAACCTCAGCTAGTGACAGAACAACACACCTCTAGATGGAGTCAGCAGGAGCAGCGGCGGCACCCAAGTCGCTGGAGGATCGGATCAGCGACCAAGACACCATGATCCGGCAACTTGGGGCCGCCATGAACGAGGTGTCCAACACGCTGCGCCGATTGGTTACGAGGGAGGTGCCCACGCCGTCGCACACCTTACCATCACCATCGGCCAGTCCTCCTCTCCCAGCACCGGAACCCAGTGGCATTCGGCTCTCGCTCCCGAGGGCTTATGATGGTTCTGCAGCCGGGTGTCAGGGGTTCCTCCTGCAGGTGGAACTCTACCTGGCCACCATACACCCGGCGCCCTCGGGATACGAGAGCGTCTCCGCCCTCATCTCCTGTCTATCCGGCAAGGCGTTGGAGTGGGCCAACGCCGAATGGAGGGGAATAGACGCCGCTACCATCACCTACGCGGAGTTCTCCCGCCGCTTCAGGGCTGTGTTCGATCATCCACCTGAGGGGAAGGCGGCGGGGGAGCGTCTGTTCCACCTCCGACAGGGGAAGAGGAGCGCACAGGAGTTCGCCCTGGAGTTCCGGACTCTAGCGGCGGATGCGGGGTGGAATGAGAGGGCCCTCATCGACCATTACCGGTGTAGCCTACGAGAGGACGTTCGTCGTGAGCTGGCCTGCAGGGACACCAACCTATCCTCGACCAGTTGGTGGACATCTCCATCCGTCTCGACACCCTGCTGGCTACCCGCGGACGTCCCGAGTGGGGGTCGTCCATTCCACCCTCCAGCACCTCCGAGCCGATTCCCATGGAGCTCGGAGGTGCTGGCGCTAGAGAGAGGAGGAGAGAGAACCCGAGGGGGGCCATCCCCTGCACCAACTGTGGCCGTGGAGGACACACTGCGGCCAGGTGCTGGGGAGGGTCTCCTGGGAGAGGGGACAACAGGTCACGCACTGGGGAGTCATTTCAGGTGAGTAGGCGCCCCACTTACCCAGAGCTCTCTGTTGGTCACATGTGTATACCTGTGAGATTTCCACAGGTGGCACCTCATTCCCAGCATAAGGCGCTAGTAGATTCAGGCGCAGCTGGGAATTTTGTTGATCGTGAATTTGTTATAGGTTAGGAATTCCCCTTCGGCCAGTAGAAGCCCCCTTTCCTGTTCATGCCCTAGACAGCCGGCCGTTGGGGTCGGGGTTGATCAGAGAAGTCACAGCACCACTTAAGATGACAACGCAGGGGGGTCATGAGGAGATCATTCAGTTTTATCTGATTGACTCTCCTGCGTATCCCGTGGTGCTAGGGCTTCCCTGGTTAAGCGCCCATGATCCTACCATTGCGTGGCAACAGAGGGCTCTTATGGAGTGGTCTGCCCAGTGTGTAGGGAGATGTCTAGGTGTTTCCTTAGGGGCGACCTCGGTAGAGAGTCCGAACCAAGTGCCCGCAATGCGCATTCCCCCTGAATATGAAGATTTAGCACTTGTGTTCAGCAAAGCGAGGGCAACACAGCTACCACCTCATAGACAGGGGGATTGTGCGATAGATCTCCAAACAGGAGCGGCACTTCCGCGGAGCCGTGTGTATCCCCTGTCTCAAGAGGAGACAGCGGCTATGGAGACTTACATAGCCGAGTCCTTGGCACAGGGATACATACGGTCCTCCACTTCCCCGGTTTCCTCGAGTTTCTTCTTTGTGAAGAAGAAGGACGGGGTTTTGCGCCCGTGTATTGATTACCGTAGTCTCAATCAGATCACGGTTAAGTACAGTTACCCTCTTCCACTGAATGCGACTATGACGGAGTCATTACGCGGAGCGCGGTTCTTCACAAAGTTGGATCTCAGGAGCGCGTACAATCTGGTGCGCATTAGGGAGGGGGATGAATGGAAAACAGCATTTAGCACCACCTCGGGTCATTACGAGTATCTCGTCATGCCATACGGGTTAATGAATGCTCCTTCAGTCTTCCAATCCTTTGTTGATGAGATTTTCCGGGACATGCATGGGCAGGGTGTGGTAGTATACATCGACGACATCCTAGTGTATTCTTCTACACGAGCCGAGCATGTAGCCCTGGTGCGCCGAGTGTTGAGGAGACTGTTGGAGCATGACTTGTATGTCAAGGCAGAGAAATGCTTGTTCTTCCAGGAGTCCGTCTCCTTTTTGGGTTATCGGTTGTCCGCGTCTGGTGTGAAGATAGAGGTTGACCGTGTGTCGGCCGTGCGTAATTGGCAAACTCCAACCACTGTAAAAGAGGTGCAGCAGTTTTGGGGTTTTGCTAATTACCACCGGAGGTTTATCCGGGGCTTTGGACAGGTTGCAGCTCCCATTACGTCCCTGCTAAAGGGGGGTCCGGTTCGTTTGCAGTGGTCAGCTGAGGCGGACAGGGCATTTGTCAAACTGAAGAACCTGTTCACCTCGGCTCCGGTGCTGGCGCATCCGGATCCCTCTTTACCATTCCAAGTAGAGGTAGACGCGTCCGAGGCCGGTATTGGGGCAGTCCTGTCGCAACGGTCCGGTATGCCCCCTAAGCTCCGCCCCTGTGCGTTCTATTCTAAGAAGCTCAGCTCGGCGGAGCGTAATTATGACGTAGGGGACAGGGAGCTGTTAGCTGTAGTCCAGGCCCTAAAGGTGTGGAGGCATTGGCTTGAGGGGGCTCAACACCCTTTCCTCATTCTGACTGACCACCGTAACCTGGAGTACATCCGGGCAGCTAGGAGATTGAACCCTCGTCAGGTTAGGTGGAACATGTTCCTGACCCGGTTTGTTTTTAAGATCACATACATCCCAGGGTCCCAGAACGGTAAGGCAGACGCCCTGTCCCGGCGGTATGACACAGAGGAGAGGTCCATTGAGCCTACTCCCATACTGCCGGAGTCTTGTTTGGTGGCTCCGGTGGTGTGGGAGGTCGATGCGGAGATCGAGCGGGCACTGCGTACCGACCCTACTCCCCCCGAGTGTCCTGTGGGGCGGCCGTACGTTCCGCTCGAGGTTCGTGACCGCCTTATTTATTGGGCTCATACATCACCCTCCTCTGGACATCCAGGTATTGGCCGGACAGTGCACTGCCTTAGCGTGAAATACTGGTGGCCAACGTTAGCTAAGGATGTGAGGGTTTATGTCTCCTCCTGCTCGGTGTAAGGCGCCTAGACATTTGCCCAGGGGAAAGTTACATCCCCTGCCCGTTCCACAACGACCATGGTCCCACCTCTCGGTGGATTTTGTGACCGACCTTCCCCCCTCCCAGGGGAATACCACCATTTTGGTCGTTGTGGATCGGTTTTCCAAGGCCTGTCGTCTCCTCCCAATGCCGGGTCTCCCTACTGCCCTACAGACCGCTGAGGCCCTATTTACCCACGTGTTCCGGCACTATGGGGTCCCCGAGGATATTGTGTCTGACCGAGGTCCCCAGTTCACCTCCAGAGTCTGGGGGGCGTTCATGGAACGCTTGGGGGTCTCAGTGAGCCTTACCTCGGGGTACCACCCAGAGAGCAATGGGCAGGTTGAACGAGTCAACCAGGATGTGGGTAGGTTTCTGAGGTCCTATTGCCAGGGCCGGCCGGAGGAGTGGTCTAGGTATATCCCCTGGGCAGAGATGGCCCAGAACTCTCTCCGCCACTCCTCCACCAATTTAACACCTTTCCAGTGTGTTTTAGGGTATCAGCCGGTCCTGGCACCATGGCACAAGAGCCAGATCGAGGCCCCTGCGGTGGATGAGTGGATTCGGCGCTCGGAGGAGACGTGGGACGCTGCACATGTCCATCTGCAGCGGGCCATCCGTCGACAGAAGGCGAGCGCCGATCGCCACCGCAGTGAGGGACCGTTTTACGCACCGGGAGATCGAGTCTGGCTCTCGACTCGAAACCTGCCCCTCCGCCTGCCCTGCCGGAAGCTGGGTCGGCGGTTTGTGGGGCCCTTCAAAGTCCTGAGAAGATTGAACGAGGTGTGTCACAGGTTACAACTGCCTATTGATTACAAGAATATTAACCCCTCGTTCCATGTGTCTCTTCTCAGGCCGGTGGTAGCTGGCCCACTCCAAGAAGATGAGATAGGAGAGACCCCTCCGCCCCCATTGGACATCGAGGGGGCCCCGGCGTACAGGGTCCGAACCATCTTGGACTCGAGGCGCCGGATGAGTGGTCTCCAGTATCTCGTGGAGTGGGAGGGGTACGGTCCGGAGGAACGGTGCTGGGTGCCTAGGAGGGACATCCTAGATCCATCCCTCCTGACTGAGTTCCACCGTGGGCATCCCATGCGCCCGGGTCCGCGTCCTCCTGGCCGTCCCCGAGGCCGGGGTCGGCGCACGGCTGGAGCTGCGCGTCAAGGGGGGGGTACTGTCACGTATTCTGCCGAGGCTGCTCCTCCTCCTTGTTCGGGCAGGCTTCGGCGTTCGTCGTCCCCGGAGTACTAGCTGCCACCGTTGAATGTTTCTATGTTTGATTGCTTTTGTCTGTCCATTGCACCTGTGTCCGTTTGTGTCTGATTATGTGTTCTATAAGTTTCCTGTTTTGTATTGGTTAGGTTGTGTGTTGTTATTCGCCTGTCCGTTAGTGCTGCGTGTTCTTTCTGTTTATTGTTTTGTTAGTTTACGCACAGTCTGCGTAATCGTTCGCCTCTGTTTGTGTTTGAGGCCGTTCATTGTATTGTGCTTGGGTTTTTGCACTAGTAAACGTTGTTGGACTAAGCTTCGGTGTCCTGCGCCTGACTCCCGCACCACATTAACCTCAGCTAGTGACAAGAAGAGGGGGAGGGGAGGGACTGAGGGGAGGGAGAGGGGGAGGGGATGTTAATATAGTATGATGAGAATAGTATGTAAACCTTGTGTTACGTGGGTAAGGCAGTGGCTGATTGGATGGTTAAACCTTGTGTTACGTGGGTAAGGCAGTGGCTGATTGGATGGTTAAACCTTGTGTTACATGGGTAAGGCAGTGGCTGATTGGATGGTTAAACCTTGTGTTACATGGGTAAGGCAGTGGCTGATTGGATGGTTAAACCTTGTGTTACATGGGTAAGGCAGTGGCTGATTGGATGGTTAAACCTTGTGTTACATGGGTAAGGCAGTGGCTGATTGGATGGTTAAACCTTGTGTTACATGGGTAAGGCAGTGGCTGATTGGATGGATGATTCCACTGACTGACCACGGTGTGGTACTGGCGCCTACATGTTGAACTGTTCAATACACTGACATTCTGGATACTTACAAACAATTGTATACAAGCACATTGCCCAATGTTAAAAACCTTTCTGTTTCCATTCTGAAGGCCTTACTTCCCCACAGTTTGTCCCCTTTGCTCTCTCTGGGAATCTCCCCTTAACTTAACCTGAAACCGTTTGGTCCTTGGGACAACCCTCGTGGTCGCATGGGCTGGCTGGAGAGAGAAGTAAGGACCCTCATCTCAGCCACAGCCACAGCCGTGTCCTTCACTGTGGTGGGAGAGCCAAACACACGGTCTCCCTCACTGGGATGCTGCATCATCACCTATGGGGGGGGGGGGAGAGAGAGAGAAAGACGGAGAGGGAGAGAGGAGGGAGATAAGAGAGAGGAGAGAGGAGATAGAGAGAGATAGAGCGAGAGATAGAAGAGAGGATCTGATTTTCTTCTCTGTCTTTCTCTTCCTCTCTGTTTTTATCTAGATCTTATTTTCTATCTCTTTTTCTCTTTCTCTCTCTCTCTCTCTCTCTTTTCTCTCCTCTCCTCTCTCTTCTCTCTCCTGCTCTCTCTCTCTCTCTCTTCTCTTCTCTCTTCGCTCTTCTCCCTCTTTTCCTTTTTCTTCTCTCTCTCTCTTTTCTCTCCCTCCTTTTCCTTAGACAAGAGAGACAGTAGTAACAGATGCATGAATGGCGTTTATACAACAAAAGCCTGAATTCTCGTAATCATGGCAGCTAACCCTGGTGTTAGGGGAACCCCTCTCAACCTCTGCCATGTTATGAGGCCCAGTGCCAGGGTCCTTTAAACCCAGGAATAGTACTGTTCTTTGTCCCTCTTTCCTCCTCTGCACATGATCTGCAGTCCCTGTTGGCATCCTCGCCTTTCAAAAAATGTGGATACTAGAGGAAGTAAAGATGTGAGAGATAGTGAGGTTGACAGAATCAGACAGGCACTTAAATTATGCACTGGAAATAGAACCTATGGAAACATTTTTAAAGCATCTGCCTCTCTTTGCATACGCACAATTGTCTGTGCAAAGTCCCCGGGGTAACTCACTTGCAAGGAGAACGTCAGCTGAAGTTCAGTCTCAGTAATTCCAGCCGATGACAATAGGATCTCATTGGAACGTAAAATGCGCTTTGATCCCTAAGAGGATATTCCACACACGTTATACATCTCCTGTATATATTGCCCATGGATCAACAAGTTCTGACTAGTCACTAGTCACTTCTGCAAAACATCCTACTACTGTATATCTATGTATACTTTGTGGAAGGAAAGGGGGAATGTGAAGAGGGTCACCTGGAGTTTGACTGCGATGACAACAGAGGTTAGGTCTCTGTCCAGCTCCTGAAGCATCACCAGCTTCTTCAGGGTAACAGTGAAGAGCCTGGATTTAGGGGGAGAGAAGGGGATATTCATATTTCTCTGTTTAGTCTGAACCAACAACATGAGCAAAGAAAGTATCAGTCTTTGACAATGACATTTTTTTAACCTTGGGTCCTAGGTGCAGCACTTGACCTGACTTCACACAGATTGGGATTGGATAATAGGAGCTGAGTGAGTAATGTTTAGTCTGAAGCTATTTTTTACTTTCAAAAACCAAGAAGAAAAATACATTACAATGATATATTTTACTTTATAAGGACTGAATGCTAAGGCTACCAAGCTTGCTAGTACAAAGAGATACAACTTCAATTAGCACTGACGTGTGAAGTGAGAGGTGTCAAAGCCCTTGAGCCCAACAATGGCAGGAGAGTCGCACAGTCTACCCCAACCAAATGGAGAGGCCTTAGAATCACCCCCCGCTGTTCAGAGGTCATTAAAATACAGTACCCTCTGAATGTAAAAATGTTAAGACACAAAAATAGTACAAAATGAAGCTCCTTATGGGAAATCAGGAGACACTTTTTACTGACTTTTATAAAAATGGGAACATAAGCAACCTTATCTTCCACACAGACCATCCCCTGGCATGGCACAGTGTTATACTAACACACTACTCCTCTGTTAAGAGGGGGGATGTTAGCGATGGGTGGAAACTCAGGATACTAGACAACGAGGACTCTGAGTCATCTAATATAAATCTCTATAAATCTGGAACAATATTGGTACAGGGCAACACCAAACAGTTCCAGCTGGACTTTCACCTAATCAAGGAAATAGCTCAGCAGGAGAACCTCTCCCTTGAGAAAGATACCCCCACCCCGAGCGGGTCAGACCAGACCTCTTCATTAAATAACCCCACAGAGCAACCCCAAGCGGAAAGTCAACTTCCCAGCACAGAGTACTACTCCCTCATTGAAATGAAGGATCAATTCACCCAGCTGGAGGTAAGGCAGGTGGAGCTGGAACAGCAGGTGAACACACTCCAGTCAGCACAGACCCAGACAACAGTCCAGCACAACAACACCCCCTTAACTAGACCTGGAGAGCTGGAGGTAGAGAGATACATATCTGCACTCTGGACTGTGGTGAGACAACATCAACAGGAGAAAGAGCAGGAGCAGGAGAAGAACAGAGCACTAGAGGAGAGGATCAGAGTGCTGGAGGAGAAGGTGAGAATGATGACGGGTGACAGAGAACAACCCATTAGAGAGCTGGCCACCCCCGCAGAGAAGCCAGCAGAACAGCCCACCTCAGATCCTGGCCAAAGTCTCGACACCGCAGCAGAACAGTACACCCTAGACCCTGACCATAGCCTCCACATCACAGCCAGACAAACAAATGAAGAACCCCAAGCCCAGGGGATCCCAACCCCTCTGAGCACCCCCCCTGTCAGCCACCCTGATAGCCCTCATGACGACCCCCCACACCCACTGAGGACATACACAAGCCACAGATTGTACTCCTTATGGACTCAAATGGGAAATACATACAAGAAAATAAACTTTTCCCCAAACACAGTGTCTAAACTATGGTGTCCAAACACCCAGCGCGCCCTAGACCTTCTGTCTGAGGACCAACTAGGATCACCCAGCCACATAATAATACACACAGGCACAAACGACCTGAGAACACAGCAGGAAAGGGTGGCCACAGCACTCAAGGGAGTGATAGAAAAAGCTTCTTCTACTTTCCCCAACGCACAAGTGGTTATCTCAACCCTATATCCAGCCCACAGCACCATCAGCCACATCTCCACCCCCACCCCCACCAATTAACACCCCCCCAAGTCAACCATGCCCACACCCCATTTAGCCCCCCTCAGATCAGACCTATCCTCCTACCCACCCCATGCCCCCCACTCCCGCAAAGAGGGCCTCAACATGAAAGTCACACATACGACCAGGCTGTGAGCAGGCAAACAGGCCCAACCCCCCCTCTTACACTAGCCCAAGCCAATGGCATGTACCAGATGCTCAGCAGGCTCTGCTCACAATTACTGGCCTGAGGCCAAACCACACAACCAACAACATTAGACACTTTATGGAACACAAAGCCTTCACTATTTCATCCTGGAATATCCAAGGCCTGAGGTCATCTGCCTTTGACCTAAAGAGCAGGAACCTGGACTTCATCAAAGAAATCAGAAATACAGATATTGTCATCCTACAAGAAACATGGTATAGAGGAGAACATAAAATTTGACATACCAATTCGGATCTGGCTAAAAATACTTGAATCAGTTATAGAACCCATTGCCCTTTGTGATTGTGAGGTCTGGGGTCCGCTCACCATCCAAGAATTCACAAAATGGGACAAACACCAAATTGAGACTCTGCATGCAGAATTCTATAAAAATATCCTCTGTGTACAACGAAAAACACAAAATAATGCATGCAGAGCAGAATTAGGCCGATACCCTGCTAATTATCAAAATCCAGAAAAGAGCCGTTAAATTCTATAACCACTTAAAAGGATGAGATTCCCAAACCTTCCATAACAAAGCCATCACCTACAGAGAGATGAACTTGGAGAAGAGTCCCCTAAGTAAGCTGGTCCTGGGGCTCTGTTCACAAACACAAACAGACCCCACAGAGCCCCAGGACAACAACACAATTAGACCCAACCAAATCATGAGAAAACAAAAAGAGAATTACTTGACACATTGGAAAGAATTAACAAAAAACCAGAGCAAACTAGAATGCTATTTGGCTCTAAACAGAGAGTGTTTCAGTCACCACTGTGACTGACCCAAACCTAAGGAAAGCTTTGACTATGTACAGACTCAGTGAGCATAGCCTTGCTATTGAGAAAGGCTGCCGTAGGCAGACCTGGCTCTCAAGAGAAGACAGGCTATGTGCACACTGCCCACAAAATGAGGTGGAAACTGAGCTGCACTTCTTAACCTCCTGCCAAATGTATGACCATATTAGAGACACATATTTTCCTCAGATTACAGAGATCCACAAATAATTAAAAAACAAACCCAATTTTGATAAACTCCCTTATCTACTGGGTGAAAAACCACAGTGTGCCATCACAGCAGCAAGATTTGTGACCTGTTGCCACAGGAAAAGGGCAACCAGTGAAGAACAAACACCATTGTAAATACAACCCATATTTATGTTTATTTATTTTCCCATTTGTACTTCAACTATTTGCACATTGTTACAACACTGTATATATACATAATATGACATTTGAAATGTCTTTATTCTTTTGGAACTTCTGTGTAATGTTGACTGTTAATATTTATTGTTTATTTCACTTTTGTTTACTATCTACTTCACTTGCTTTGGCAATGTTAACATACGTTTCCCATGCCAATAAAGCCCTTAAATTGAAATCGAAATCGAATTGAATTGAATTGAATTGAATTGAGAGAGAGAGAGACTGGTGATGGTTACCAGTGAACAGCTGATTGGGTTAGGAGTTGTCTGTGTAATAATTTATATATTTACTAAAAGCCATGCCAAACAGACATGGCACTGGAGGCTAAATAGAAATAGCTAAAGTGATTATAAGCCACCCAGGCTCCTTCTTAATTGCATTTGTACAAATAGATAACATATGATGAGGTGCATTCTCCTTTAAATAAGGACTTCACTGAGAATCAGAGGGAGGAAACAAGAGATCCCCAAGCATCAAGTCAAGGCCAAAAGCTTCACAGTTTCTATACATGAAAGAAAGAAAAACTTGTCAACATACTATACAGTGTGTGGACCACTTTAAGAGAAACAAATCATTTTCATCCAGCTCTTCTTCAAATCCACCCACGTCCTCTCTCCATTTTCCCTGCCAGAGAGAGCACCCCCGCAGGCAGCCTTGACTCTTTAGAGGGGTCCTTCGAGAATCCACACACCAACCCGCTCCTACCCCCTCTTCTCTATTGCTACAAGATGAAAAGCAGTATCAGAGAAATGTGTAGCATTGGTAACAATCATCTGTTATAAGTCGTAATGGATGAGTAGGTTGCTTAGCAACAGTCTGTAGGCATATGTATGTAGACATCAGTAATAATTAGCCAATTGTTTATGTTGCTTCTACTCTGTATGTGCTGTATAATTATTTATTCTGACAGCATGTTGTTTTCCTGTGTGGTTTAGGAGCAGCTGTCTATGGCACCCTGCCTGCCCAACTGCTCAGGGATACGTTGATTTGGAGCCTTTACATTCTGGTCAGTCGTGATCTTGGACTTCTTCTTCATGACTGTGGTCCTCCAAACATAATTTTTCATTATAGGAGTTGAATGTTCTCTTTCTTTAAAAAAGGGGCAATCTGCGATTGCTACATACATTTCTAGCCTTTTAAATGAATGATATACAGTGCATTCGGAAAGTATTCAGAACCCTTGACTTTTTCCACATTTGGTTACATTACAGCCTTACTCTAAAATGGATTCAATTGTTTTTTTCTCCTCATCAATCTACGCACAAGACCCCATAATGACAAAGCAAAAACATTTTTGCAAATGTATTAAAAATAAAAAACAGATATCACATTTACATAGGTATTCAGACCCTTTACTCAGTACTTTGTTGAAGCACCTTTGGCAGCGATTACAGCCTCAAGTCTTCTTGGGTATGACGCTACAAGCTTGGCACACCTGTATTTGGGGAGTTTCTCCCATTCTTCTCTGCAGATCCTCTCAAGCTCTGTCAGGTTGGATGGGGAGCATCGCTGCTCAGCTATTTTCAGGTCTCTCCAGAGATGTTCCATCGGGTTCAAGTCCGTGCTCTGGTTGGGCCACTCAAGGAAATTCAGAGACTTATACTGAAGCCACTCCTGCGTTGTCTTGGCTGTGTGCTTAGGGTCGTTGTCCTGTTGGAAGGTGAACCTTCACCCCAGTCTGAGGTTGTGAGCACTCTGGAGCAGGTTTTCATCAAGGACCTCTCTGTACTTTACTCCGTTCATCTTTCCCTCGATCCTGACTTGTCTCCCAGTCCCTGCCGCTGAAAAACATTGCCACAGCATGATGCTGCCACCACCATACTTCACCGTATGGATGGGGCCAGGTTTCCTCCAGATGTGACGCTTGGCATTCAGGCCAAAGAGTTCAATCTTGGTTTAATCAGACCAGAGAATCTTGTTTCTCATGGTCTGAGAGTCCTTTAGGTGCCTTTTGGCAAACTCCAAGCGGGCTGTCATTTTACTGAGGAGTGGCTTCTGTCTGGCCACTCTACCATAAAGTCCTGATTGGTGGAGTGCTGCAGAGATGGTTGTCCTTCTGGAAGGTTCTCCTATCTCCACAGAGGAACTCTGTAGCTCTGTCAGAGTGACCACCGGGTTCTTGGTCACCTCCCTGACCAAGGCCCTTCTCCCCCGATTGCTCAGTTTGGCCAGGTGGCCAGCTCTAGGAAGAGTCTTCGTGGTTCCAAACTTGGAGGCCACTGTGTTCTTGGGGACCTTCAATGCTGCAGAAATGTTTTGGTACCTTTCCCCAGATCTGTGCCTCAACACAATCCTGTCTCGGAGCTCTATGGACAATTCCTTCGACCTTATGGCTTGGTTTTTGCTCTGACATGCAATGTCAACTGTGGGATCTTATATAGACAGTTGTGTGCCTTTCCAAATCATGTCCAATCAATTGAATTTACCACAGGTGGACTCCAATCAAGTTGTAGAAACATCTCAAGGATGATCAATGGAAACAGGATGCACCTGAGCTCAATTTCGAGTCTCATAGCAAAGGGTCTGAATACTTATGTAAATAAGGTATTTCTGTTTTTTATTTTTAATAAATTGTCTAAAAACCTGTTTTTGCTTTGTCATTATGAGGTATTGTGTGTAGATTGATAAGGGGGATTTGTTTTTAAAAATCTATTTTAGAATAAGGCTGTAATGTAACAAAATGTGAAAAAAGTCAAGGGGTCTGAATACTTTCCAAATGCACTGTATACCCATTGACTCTTGTCTTGAAGAATATCACTTCTAAATGCCTCATGAGCTTATTAGCTCAACTGTCATACCCTATCAGAACCCTAAATATAAGCCTGTTTCATTCTATTGTTTGTAAACAATGTAATTGTAAACAAACATTGTATAGCCTCAAAACATAGTTAAAACTATAATATTGTTCTCATGGATGATCAGTCTTTGCATCCATTGCTCTGTCTATGAATTTGAGAGTGGTTACATTTCTCCAGCCCCATCCCTCAGCTGTTTACCAAAACAATGTTTGTTATGGTTTGACATTCGGATTGCCCCTTTAAAGACCCTCCCTAATATTCACTAGCAGCAGCACTAGTCTACCACTACAGGCTAACTGTATCTATGTGACTTGTACACTTTACAGTAATCACAGTCACCTGACTGATACTGATGGTCAAAACAAAACTTGTGTCATATTTACAGTCAATTCCAGCACTGCAATGTGCATTATTCAAAGGAAAGACAGAAATAGGCCTCGGCTGTTATTTCAACTTTAATAATATTATTATTTGATGTTATTTTCATTAACTCATTCATTTGTTGAACTTTTATTCTACCTAGGTCTACATAACTTATATTGTGGGGGGTGGGTCAGGTGACTTCCCACTGATTCAACAGTATACCTAAACTACATCTGACTGCAGACGCCGATACTATGTAGCAACTTCTTTATAGTCATCTGTTCACGATTGAAAACCTCGACTGTCAGAACCAGATGTTAACAGAGAAATTAAAAACGTCAAGCCATAGTGTTTAGGCGGCCATACCTGGGCACACAGCTTGGAGATGAGCGATCAATTTCCCAGGTTGCATACAGGTTCATTTGAACCGGACGGTTCGGGGAGATAGTTACGGTCTTAGACAGCTGCATTTGTGGAGATGGTGTGCCCCCAGCCCGCGGGAGACTCCCTCTCTCCGACATACTGGAGGTGTTTCAGATGTAGAAGAAAAATACCTTCTGTCATTCAGTTTCCCGACTTGTGCATACGGATATTTTCAGCACAACCGATGCTTTAAATTGCGTTTTCATATACACAGAATTACATGACTCCTTGCTTGCTTTTCTGTTCTGCAGCCCACATTTGATGCTATTAGGTCACAAGTTCGATGTTTTTCATAGCAGGAAGCGGACATTTGCCCTCCAGGGAGCACAAGCGAATAGCTACGCCTCTCGTTAAAGATGCACTACAATCCTGACAACAGTCCCTCTCAAGAATAATAACGTGAGAGTTAGGGCGTCAGAGCAGGTGCATATGGTTTGCGTGCGTGCGTTCTCTCTCTCTCACACACACACACACGCGCACACACACACACGCAGACACACACAGAGCTATTATTGTAAGGCCAGCCTCTCAGAGCTGCCACCCACACTAGGGAGAGGTGAGGAGGCATGGGACCAGTAGAGCGATCCCAATTGGAACATCAGTGTGTCCTACTCATTAATTATAGCCTACATCTTGCAATGCTCATAATGACCCCGTAGCCATCTTATAAGATAGTCGATGTTTCATGCCATTTTAATAAAACAAGGTTTCACCCAATAGACTGAATAAATATGCATACAGAAACCTACAAATCTGATTAGGATCTTTATTGGTTATAAGGTTGAGAAAGCCAACGTGTGATAGTGCAACTTTAAAGCAATGGCTGTGTTAGATTAAGAAAATTCATGAAAACTGCAGTTTATCGGACAAGAATCACCTTTATTCGCATATATGAATTAGACTTGGTGAAATTGTGCTGCCACTATAAACATAATATATAGACGATAAACAGGATATACAGACGATAAACAGAATATATAGACAGACGATAAACAGGATATACAGACAGACGATTAACAGGATATAAAGATGATAAACAGAATATACAGACTATAAACAGAATATACTGTAAGCTAAGAACTACAAGCTTCTACAAGCACCGACGGAATAAGCTGTAACATATTCAGAGTGACAGGGATGAATGTGGTAGTAGCCTAGATTGTAATGAACTACCACCCAGAGTAGCCTAGCTTCTATTGAGTTACATGCCTTTTGTTCTACTTTGTTCTCATTGTGCATCCGACGGTAGGTCTCTGTTACATTCAGTGTAACCTGATACTGGGAGATGCAAGAGAACACACCTGCAGACAATATGAACTGGAATGACAAACCTGATTACTCTGGGTTCCTGCAGCTATTGCTTAACTTGAACTTGTAATGGATGAGGTATCTCTTACAGTCTAGAAAGAGAGATTTAAATAGATGGTAAAGTAATATTTAGTCTGACAGGCTAGCTATGTGACAGTCACACTAGTGTTGTTTGTAGCATTGTAGTGTATACATCAGGAAACTTAGTAGGTATCAACAGAGGGTGTATCCCTGAGTACATCATGTCTTGGTATAGGAGGTTACACAAGGTCAAGGTTTTTAGAACAGTGAATTCACCCAAATCATTACAAACTGCTATTTTAAAAAGAAGAGTAATACATTTAACAATATCCATAAATGTAACATTGACATAATCTGTTAGTCATAATGGAGGTGTAAGCCCTGCTTAGCAACAGTCCATGCTCCGTAGGCATATGTATGTAGGCATCACTAATAATTAGCCAACTGTTTATGTTGCTTCTACTCTGTATGTGCTGTATAATTATTTATTCTGACAGCATGTGGTTTTCCTGTGGGGTTTAGGAGCAGCTGTCTATGGCACCCTGCCTGCCCAACTGCTCAAGGATACGTTGATTTGGAGCCTTTACATTCTGGTCAGTCGTGATCTTGCACTTCATGATGCTTCTTCTTCATGACCATGGTCCTCCAAATGTTGTTTTTCATTATAGAGTTGAATGTTCTCTTCCTATAAAAGGGGCAATCTGTGATTGCTACATGCATTTTTTTACTTTTAAATTGATGATATAAACCCATTGATTCTTGACGAATATAACTTATAAATGCTGATGAGCTTAGTTCAACTGTCATACCCCACTAGAACCCAAAATATAAGCCTGTTTGGTGCAAGCAGGTTGGCTGCTAGGTAATGTTTTTACATATTACAGAATATCAATGAATGCCAGTTTGGAAGCCAAACCAATGTGTCATTTTGTAATTTGGGTGAACTATCCCTTTAATGGTTTGAGACTTGCTGCCACTCCAATCTGTCCCCTATACACATTTAATTGTTGGGGCACAACTACCACATATCAGTTAAATTGGTACAGCACTCTCACTAACGGGTGGCACAAATGTAGCCTGTTACAAGGTACGCCTCAAAATATGTTAATAAGCCAAACACAACAATACCTTGCAACCACTAGCGGTCCAAAAGTTTTTGGCGCTCCAAAAATAGGGTACGGTACTATATTCTGTGGGGTGGAATTACAGTACCATTCAAAATACAGCAATTATTTCCTTGCCAACAACATTTTCCCACAGTGCACCATAATTTTGAGTATGCTGCAGAATAATGCTTCACAGTATTTTAGTGTTTATAAATGTACACATTTACCATTTAAATCACAATTTTCCATAACAGTGTAAATGTGTACATTTATTAACACTAAAATACTGTGAATCATTATTTTGCAGCATACAAAAAATTATGGTGCACTGTGGGAAAATGTTGTTGGCAAGGAAATAATTGCTGTATCGTTTTGTAAATCATATAAATGTTGTACACACCTTGTTTGGTTTGTTCACTTCAGACCTTGATGTCACTCCATCCTATCACTCAGAATTGTTGAAAAAGTTGCCAGTTGCCCATCCCACAATGATGTGTGGTTACGGTAATGCACTGTACTTCCCTTTAGACTTGTTGGAATTGGCCTATATGGATATGGCTAAATTGAAATGTTTCTTGCAGAATAAATATTTAAAGCATATGCATAACCATGGTAGCAATTGAAAGGGAACAGTTTGGAGATAATGGGAAAGTTATTAGACCAATGGTGAGTACACAACAGTTCACCTGACATAAGACTGAATCCAAACATTACACTGTTGTTTTTATGTGCATTTTACATTTACTGTACTTTTTGGCGCATTTGTTGATAACGAAATCTGAAAATACTCTGGATACATTCAGTAACATGATAAGACTATTCCTGGAAAATGTGGGGTAGGTGCAACATAAGACAAAAAAATAACAAGGGTTTGAGTGAGAGGACTAACTGGTGTCTCCAAGTGGCCACACACCTCTCCAAAGTGTGGACAGTTCCTAAGCAATTGCAATGCACTTTTATGACTCAAAGAAGAGTCTTCAACTATTGGGTACTTTACTTCTAGCTCTGCCTTTGAAGAACTAGAGCAAGCACACTTGCATTTGTTTTGTTTGGAACACAGTCCTGCATACCCGCCATCACACAATTACTGTTGTTGTTTACGCAATCCAAAAACGGTCCATTATAAATCGCAATCTGGGTCATGTGGGCATCATTTGAAAGCTTATTCGATTGGCAACATCACTAGCTAAGTTATAAAATACGATCTTACAGTGTTAGGCTTTCACAAAGCAATTCAGATAAACAAATCGTAATTTTTCAGAACTGCTGTCAGTCAGTCAAAACCCATACAGCGCTGTGAAACAGCGCCTGAGCTCTGACGTCATGTATAGTATGTTACTGTTCAGACATTATGTTCCAAATTAGGCCCAAATCTGCCATTTTCAACAAGTAGGCCTAAATGGGTAGGAGTGTAAATCTTTGGAATTTACGGTATTGTGCACTGTTCACGGCAAAAATCACACAGAGTAAATTGCCATTTAGAACAATTTACTGTAAATAATTAATACGGTACTTTACTGTTAGTTTTATTGTATAATACTGTCAAAACAACAATAACATTTAATACTTGGTTTTTCTTGTTACTGTATGACTGCTCTATTGCCACTAGATGGAGGCATTGTTACAGTAAAACCACTCAGCTGATGCCAGCATTTTAGTGAAGTTCTGTTGTAACCAGAAAAGAGGGGATTCACAGAAACATGTAAATTACAACGACATCATATATTTACATGGCCCATGCTTATTCAGTGGCCTTAATTAGATAAATTCGACTGACAAATCCGTTTCAAATCAAGTTAGGCCACCTGCTAAATTGCACCTCATATCTTAGAATATACTTGGGCTATATAATATTATTTGGTGTGTGTATGGAAAAGCACCTCTCATCAAACACGTTTTTTTTTTTTTGTTGAATTCGCAAGATATGTGCTGAGTAATGCCAAATGCTTTGCGCAGGCCTATAGCAATCTTCCATGGGACGGTCGGTGTGAGAATCTGAGCAGCAGCCAGAAAACCAACCCAGCTTTTAGTTCAATGAAGCACGGCGAGGCATTTAACGGTGGCGGTCAAAAAAATCACGGCGTAAACACGTCTGTAAGGTATTTAAAAAATAATAATATTGTTATTGTAATATCTGACCAATATGAATACATGGACGTGTTTGTGTTCGTACACTCGCAAAAATGCATTGAGTCGCTTTTGTTATCAATAATCTGATGCATTCAGTCAATACATGGTGAACACTGCTTTATAGGATTTGCCTGAGACTTACCCTACGTGTTAAAAAATACATTAACTATAATATGAGTATAACTGTTTTGTTACTCTCTCTCTCTCTCTGTGTGTGTGAATGTGTATGTGTGTGTGTGTAAGCACCTTCTCATCAATTATAACTTATTATCAATTTTCGCCTTATTCAGCTCCATTTCCTAGTGTTTATTGGGTGGAGTTGGGGAGTAGGCTATGGCTATGGAGCAGGTGATTGAGCCTGTGTTTGCCTCTGGAGTGGCTGCTCGTTTGAGGAGCCAGTGGGACCGCAATGAGGGCATCGGTCAGAATGACAAGGCCCTGAAGTTCTTCGGCCAGGACTTTGAGTGTCTCCGGGCCCACAGTCTGCAGAGCAGACGCCTGTTTGAGGATGATGCATTCCCTGCTCAGACCTCATCGCTGGGCTTCAAGGAGCTGGGGTCACACTCTGCAAAGACACAGGGGGTCCGATGGATGCGCCCCACGGTGAGGGAGAGATACAGTACATCTGCAGGTTATAACTTTCTACTGCAGAGATGCTCCTATCCATCTTGATACTTGTCTCACCCGTAGAAACTCTCTCTGTGTTCCTCAGGAGTTCTGTTCTGACCCTCACTTCATCGTAGACGGAGCCACGCGTACAGACGTCTGCCAGGGAGCTCTGGGTGAGTTCAGATTGCCCACAATGTGCCCAACCTCTGCCCTACTGTGCTATGGAGCTGGGCTTTTGGACTCCTACAGTGAGGGGAAAAAAGTATTTGATCCCCTGCTGATTTTGTACGTTTGCCCACTGACAAAGAAATGATCAGTCTATAATTTTAATGGTAGGTTTATTTGAACAGTGAGAGACAGAATAACACAACAAAATCCAGAAAAACGCATGTCAAAAATGTTATAAATTGATTTGCATTTTAATGAGGGAAATAAGTATTTGACCCCCTCTCAATCAGAAAAAGATTTTCTGGCTCCCAGGTTGTCTTTTATACAGGTAACGAGCTGAGATTAGAGCAGACTCTTAAAGGGAGTGCTCCTAATCTCAGCTTGTTACCTGTATAAAAGACCATGTCCACAGAAGCAATCAATCAATCAGATTCCAAACTCTCCACCATGGCCAAGACCAAAGAGCTCTCCAAGGATGTCAGGGACAAGATTGTAGACCTACACAAGGCTGGAATGGGCTACAAGACCATCGCCAAGCAGCTTGGTCAGAAGGTGACAACAGTTGATGCGATTATTCGCAAATGGAAGAAACACAAAAGACCTGTCAATCTCCCTCGGCCTGGGGCTCCATGCAAGATCTCACCTCATGGAGTTGCAATGATCATGAGAACGGTGAGGAATCAGCCCAGAACTACACGGGAGGATCTTGTCAACGATCTCAAGGCAGCTGGGACCATAGTCACCAAGGAAACTATTGGTAACACACTACGCTGTGAAGGACTGAAATCCTGCAGCGCCCGCAAGGTCCCCCTGCTCAAGAAAGCACATATACATGCCCGTCTGAAGTTTGTCAATGAACATCTGAATGATTCAGAGGAGAACTGGGTGAAAGTGTTGTGGTCAGATGAGACCAAAATGGAGCTCTTTGGCATCAACTCAACTCGCCGTGTTTGGAGGAGGAGGAATGCTGCCTATGACCCCAAGAACACCATCCCCACCGTCAAACATGGAGGTGGAAACATTATGCTTTGGGGGTGTTTTTCTGCTAAGGGGACAGGACAACTTCACCGCATCAAAGGGACGATGGACGGGGCCATGTACCGTCAAATCTTGGGTGAGAACCTCCTTCCCTCAGCCAGGGCGTTGAAAATGGATAGTGGATGGGTATTCCAGCATGACAATGACCCAAAACACACGGCCAAGGCAACAAAGGAGTGGCTCAAGAAGAAGCACATTAAGGTCCTGGAATGGCCTAGCCAGTCTCCAGACCTTAATCCCATAGAAAATCTGTGGAGGGAGCTGAAGGTTCGAGTTGCCAAACGTCACCCTCGAAACCTTAATGACCTTAATGAGATCTGCAAAGAGGAGTGGGACAAAATCCCTCCTGAGATATGTGCAAACCTGGTGGCCAACTACAAGAAACGTCTGACCTCTGTGATTGCCAACAAGGGTTTTGCCACCAAGTACTAAGTCATGTTTTGCAGAAGGGTCAAATACTTATTTCCCTCATTAAAATGCAAATCAATTTATAACATTTTTGACATGCGTTTTTATGGATTTATTTGTTGTTATTCTGTCTCTCGCTGTTCAAATAAACCTTCCATTAAAATTATAGACTGATAATTTCTTTGTCAGTGGGCAAACGTACAAAATCAGCAGGGGATCAAATACTTTTTTCCCTCACTGTATGTGCAATGGTGACGAAAGGACAGGAACTGATAGATAAACAGAGAGACGGAGACTTACATGATGACAATACCCCTACTTTTCTCCAAAATTGAGTTTTTTCAAACCATGATTTCATCATCATAGCTAAGTTATTTAGGCACACCTAATGTAATGTCATGTGGTAGGTGTCATGTGGTATGTTCTGTGTGCCAGGTGACTGTTGGCTGCTGGCAGCGATCGCTTCACTCACACTGAATGAGACTCTACTACATCGGGTGGTGCCCCATGGGCAGAGCTTCCATCAACAGTATGCTGGGATCTTTCACTTCCAGGTACTTCTACACTTCACCACCTTCCCCCGTACCACTCCTACCAGTCCTTACCGCTCTTACCCGGCTATACCTTTCCTGTCCTGTTCTGTCCAGAGCTACTCCTGTTTTCCCACATATTTATATATTTGACCCATCTCCAGCTCAATATCCAGTTGGTCTGCTATGATTTCATGCCATTTATTTCAGTAGACTCTACACCCAAATGCACAGACCTTTACAATACACTAGCTACTGTAACTGATCTGGCCCTCCACCCTAAATTCCCCACTACCCAGCACAGGGTTGGAGTGCCACTGCCCCACAACCCCCAACTCCTCCAGTCAGTCCTGTCCTCACAGGCTGCATGCATGCTGCTATATTTACTGCCAGTATTTATAGGTGGACATAAACAGTGTGTCACTCAGAACAGCAGGGCAGGGCTGCACCAGCACCCTGCTGGCAGATTCCTACAGGGAGCACCAGGCCAGCCCCGCAGCCCACCGGCCGGCCTGGCCCCCCCTGCTGGCAGATTCCTACAGGGAGCACCAGGCCAGCCCCGTAGCCCACCGGCCGGCCTGGCCCCCCCTGCTGGCAGATTCCTACAGGGAGCACCAGGCCAGCCCCGCAGCCCACCGGCCGGCCTGGCCCCCCCTGCTGGCAGATTCCTACAGGGAGGACCAGGCCAGCCCCGCAGCCCACCGGCCGGCCTGGCCCCCCCTGCTGGCAGATTCCTACAGGGAGCACCAGGCCAGCCCCGCAGCCCACCGGCCGGCCTGGCCCCCCCTGCTGGCAGATTCCTACAGGGAGCACCAGGCCAGCCCACCGGCCGGCCTGGCCCCCCCTGCTGGCAGATTCCTACAGGGAGCACCAGGCCAGCCCCGCAGCCCACCGGCCAGCCTGGCCCCTTTAACACCCACCCAAAGAGAGGGCAAGGGATAAAGATCTGGGGCACTCACTTAGCATCAGATGCAGTGCACTCATAACTGAAAGAGCACAGCGGTTGTTTTATCTCTTTGGGTTTGGACAAACACTCTGGGGAGTCGGCTGAACTGCAGTTGTCTTGTTGCCAAGCAATCTACTCTGTCCCTGGCAACCTGCAGCAGAGCCTCTCCCAGCAATGAATGCAGCATAATAAACACAACCATCCTTAAATCACAGAAGTTATACATTACTGCATTTGTATGGTGTGTATCCCAAATACTATTTTGTAGCAGTTGTGCTCGTCTCCCATGTTGTGTACCTGGTGTGTAGTTCTGGCAGTTTGGGGAGTGGGTGGACGTGGTGATTGATGACAGACTGCCAGTGAAGGATGGAAAGCTGCTGTTCCTCCACTCAGCAGAGGGGGCAGAGTTCTGGAGCGCCCTGCTGGAGAAGGCCTACGCAAAGTAAGGACAATGGATGGCGAGAAAAAGGCAATTTAGTGTACAGACACAACATAACAAACTGTTATAACAGAACTGTCTGTCTGTCTGTCTGTCTGTTTGTCTGTGTTACAGGCTCAACGGCTGTTACGAGGCCCTCTCAGGGGGCAGTACATCGGAGGGATTTGAGGACTTCACAGGGGGCGTGACAGAGATGTTTGAGCTGAAGAAGGCCCATCCAGACCTGTTTAGCATAATCAGTAGAGCAGTGGAGAGAGGATCCCTGCTGGGATGCTCCATAGATGTTAGCAACACACGCCATGCACACACACACACACGCACACACACACATACACACAGTCTTGTATAACTAACCTTGTGGGGACACACAATTCAGTCCCATTCAAAATCCTATATTCCCTAACTCTAAACCTAACCCTAACCTCTGTAGCTCAATTGGTAGAGCATGGCGCTTGTAACGCCAGGGTAGTGGGTTCGATCCCCGGGACCACCAATACGTAAAAATGTATGCACGCATGACTGTAAGTCGCTTTGGATAAAAGTGTCTGCTAAATGGCATATTATATTATTATTATAACCTTAACCCTCACCTTAACACTAGCTCCTAACCCTAAAACTAACCCTAGCTCCTAATCCTAATCCTAACCCTAGCTTTTAACCCTAAACCTAATTCTAACTCTAACACTAATTATAACCTTAACCCCCTAGAAATAGTATTTGACCTTGTGTGGACTAACAAATTGTCCCCAGTTGGTCAAATATTTGTTAGTTTACTATTCTTGTGGAGACTTCTGGTCCCCACAAGTATAGTTAAAACATGTTCACATACATGAACACAAACACACACACATACACACACTATTCTTTAAGAAACTATTTGTTTGTGCGATATAGATCCCGTACAAAATCATTCTCGAATTCTCTCAGATCTCTGGTGTTTTCGAGATGGAGGCGATGACATTCAAGAAGCTGGTGAAAGGCCATGCCTACTCTGTGACAGGTGTGGAGGAGGTGAGTGAAGGACCTGGCTAATGGAAGTTTTGATTAACAATACACATATAGTTTTATCACAGACAGCACCTCATGCTTATTGGCTAGGTGGAGTTTAAAGGAAGTCCCACCAAGCTTCTGCGGATCAGGAACCCCTGGGGAGAGATGGAGTGGACCGGAGCCTGGAGTGACAAGTGAGAGAAGAGGTGGAGGGAGAGAGAGATAGAGGTGAGATGGGGAGAGAGGGGAATGAGGTGGAGGAGAATTGGGTAAGAGTTAGTTCAGGAAAAGTTCAGTCTTGAGTGAACTTGGGCTGGTGATATATATTTTAAGAGATGTGTCAGTCTTTATTTGTGGTTTCAGTTCAAAAGAGTGGGCTGGAGTTGAACCATCGGTCAGAGCTAGATTGTACAACCGTAGCGAAGATGGAGAGTTCTGGTAAGTAGTTTGTCAAGAGTTTTTTAATATTCTATATTTTTAGGGTATTGTTTTGCCAATACAAATATCCTAACACAATATTAAGCTAATAGTACCCTCAAGACCAGTCTCTCTGCCTCTCCCATAAACCCTCCCACACAGGATGTCATTCCGTGACTTCCTGCGTGAGTTCAGCCGTTTGGAGATCTGTAATCTGACAGCAGACGCCCTGCAGGCCAGCCAGGTGAAGAAGTGGAGCTCAGCGCTCTACCCTGGAGAGTGGAGGAGAGGCAGCACTGCAGGGGGTTGCAGGAACTACCCAGGTACATTAGGAAACTGAATTGAGAGAGAAGGGGGACAAGGAGTAATAGATTAGTTTTTGTATGTTTTCCCATCTTCTCTACAGCAACGTTCTGGCTCAACCCTCAGTTCAAAGTGGCCCTTCAGCACCCAGACGCAGATGGCCAATCAGGTTGCAGCTTCCTGGTGGCGCTGATGCAGAAGGATCGTCGTCGGCAACGGCGTGAGGGGAAAGACATGGAGACCATTGGATTCGCCATCTATGAGGCAAGATATTTACTCCAGTAATTATTTTTATTTGGTAACAGTCAAGTTAAGAATCTGTAAGAATGATGTGACTTAAATACCTTTCTATCTTTCTTCTAGGTTCCAGAAGAGGTATGACACATTCTGGAAATGCTAGGAGTCCATCTCTGCATGAGACCATAACAGCAATCTCTACCCACAAATATTGGTCCTCTCCTTTCTGTACCATCTCCTATCATCCTCTTTCCTTCTTTCCTCTCCTCCTCCTCTCTCCTGGACAGTTTACAGGTCGGGCCGGGGTGCATCTGAAGAGGGACTTCTTCCTGACCCACAGCTCCAGTGCCCGGTCAGAGCTCTTCATCAACCTGAGAGAGGTCAGCACCCGCTTCTGCCTGCCCAAGGGAGAGTACATCATCGTCCCCTCCACCTTCGAGCCCCAGAAGAACGGAGACTTTGTGCTCAGGGTGTTCTCTGAAAAGCCAGCCGACTCCCAGTGAGTGAAGGGTGGTGGGGTGGGGTGGGTAGCTCAGAGGGAGAGAGACATATGAAAACCTTAAGCCAATGAAACTGGCTAAAGACTTGCTCCTCTCCTAACAGGGAATTGGATGATGACATCACAGCTGATCTGCCTGAGGAGGTGAGAAATGGTTTTGAACTAATTCAAACCAAGATGAATCTATTGACTAATCAGCATACAGCAGATGTACAGATGAGAGAAAAGCCAAACGGTCTGTGTGTGTCTGCTGCAGATAGTGCTGGATGAGAGCCAGATTGATGCAGGCTTCAAGGGTCTCTTCAGACAGCTGGCTGGAACGGTGAGAGAAACTACATTTTTGGCGGGAGCCATGGTACTTGTAGTCCTTTCTTACTTTATTTTATTCTCACAGGAAACGGAGATCAGTGCCTCCAAGCTTCAGACCATCCTAAACAGAATCGTCAGCAAGCGTGAGTCTGTTATACTGGCATCTCTTTTGGTTAAAGGGAAAAGGCATGTGAGGGAAGACTTGTATGGTGTGTTCACTGTCACTTTCTGTGTCACAGATAAGGACCTGAAGACAGACGGCTTTGGGAAGGAGGCTTGTCGTTGCATGATAACTCTCATGGATGTATCCTTAATTACAACTTCTTTATACCCACCCTGATGTGTGTCCATCAACCATCACTGTGCTTCCTCTTTATTGCTCTCAGTCTGTCCTTGACATTGATTTGACAGACCACCGGCACCGGGAAGCTGGGCTTGACAGAGTTCCATGTGCTGTGGGAGAAGATCAAACGGTACCTGGTGAGTCCAGCATGTCCTACTCTTCTAAATAGACCTCCGAAGCTTTCAAGCTATTGTTGGGTATGATTTCCACACCATGTTTGCTGTTGCCAACCTTTGTAACCTCTCTCCACTGTTCTCACCCTCTCCTCCACCAAGTCAGACTGTTAATAACCGCTCTCCCTCTCCTCCACCAAGTCAGACTGTTAATAACCTCTCTCCCTTTCCTCCACCAAGTCAGACTGTTAATAACCTCTCTCCCTTTCCTCCACCAAGTCAGACTGTTAATAACCTCTCTCCCTCTCCTCCACCAAGTCAGACTGTTAATAACCTCTCTCCCTTTCCTCCACCAAGTCAGACTGTTAATAACCGCTCTCCCTCTCCTCCACCAAGTCAGACTGTTAATAACCGCTCTCCCTCTCCTCCACCAAGTCAGACTGTTAATAACCGCTCTCCCTCTCCTCCACCAAGTCAGGCTGTTAATAACCTCTCTCCCTTTCCTCCACCAAGTCAGACTGTTAATAACCGCTCTCCCTTTCCTCCACCAAGTCAGACTGTTAATAACCTCTCCCTCTCCTCCACCAAGTCAGACTGTTAATAACCTCTCTCCCTCTCCTCCACCAAGTCAGACTGTTAATAACCTCTCTCCACTCCTTTCTCCCTCTCCTCCACCAAGTCAGACTGTGTTAATAACCTCTCTCCACTCCTTTCTCTCTCTCCTCCACCAAGTCAGACTGTGTTAATAACCTCTCTCCACTCCTTTCTCTCTCTCCTCCACCAAGTCAGACTGTGTTAATAACCTCTCTCCACTCCTTTCTCTCTCTCCTCCACCACGTCAGACTGTGTTAATAACCTCTCTCCACTCCTTTCTCTCTCTCCTCCACCAAGTCAGACTGTGTTAATAACCTCTCTCCACTCCTTTCTCTCTCTCCTCCACCACGTCAGACTGTGTTAATAACCTCTCTCCACTCCTTTCTCTCTCTCCTCCACCACGTCAGACTGTGTTAATAACCTCTCTCCACTCCTTTCTCTCTCTCCTCCACCACGTCAGACTGTGTTAATAACCTCTCTCCACTCCTTTCTCTCTCTCCTCCACCACATCAAATCAAATCAAATTTTATTGGTCACATGCGCCGAATACAACAGGTGCAGACATTACAGTGAAATGCTTACTTACAGCCCTTAACCAACAGTGCATTTATTTTTAACAAAAAAAGTAAAAATAAAACAACAACAAAAAAAGTGTTGAGAAAAAAAAGAACAGAAGTAAAATAAAGTAACAGTAGGGAGGCTATATATACAGGGGGGTACCGTTGCAGAGTCAATGTGCGGGGGCACCGGCTAGTTGAGGTAGTTGAGGTAATATGTACATGTGGGTAGAGTTAAAGTGACTATACATAAATAATTAACAGAGTAGCAGCAGCGTAAAAAGGATGGGGTGGGGGGGCAGTGCAAATAGTCCGGGTAGCCATTAGCTGTTCAGGAGTCTTATGGCTTGGGAGAAGCTGTTGAGAAGTCTTTTGGACCTAGACTTGGCACTCCGGTACCGCTTGCCGTGCGATAGCAGAGAGAACAGTCTATGACTAGGGTGGCTGGAGTCTTTGACAATTTTGAGGGCCTTCCTCTGACACCGCCTGGTATAGAGGTCCTGGATGGCAGGAAGCTTGGCCCCAGTGATGTACTGGGCCGTACGCACTACCCTCTGTAGTGCCTTGCGGTCGGAGGCCAAGCAGTTGCCATACCAGGCGGTGATGCAACCAGTCAGGATGCTCTCGATGGTGCAGCTGTAGAATTTTTTGAGGATCTGAGGACCAATGCCAAATCTTTTCAGTCTCCTGAGGGGGAATAGGCTTTGTCGTGCCCTCTTCACGACTGTCTTGGTGTGTTTGGATCATGATAGTTTGTTGGTGATGTGGACACCAAGGAACTTGAAGCTCTCAACCTGTTCCACTACAGCCCCGTCGATGAGAATGGGGGCGTGCTCAGTCCTCTTTTTTTTTCCTGTAGTCCACAATCATCTCCTTTGTCTTGGTCACGTTGAGGGAGAGGTTGTTGTCCTGGCACCACACGGCCAGGTCTCTGACCTCCTCCCTATAGGCTGTCTCATCGTTGTCGGTGATCAGGCCTACCACTGTTGTGTCGTCGGCAAACTTAATGATGGTGTTGGAGTCGTGCCTGGCCATGCAGTCATGGGTGAACAGAGAGTACAGGAGGGGACTGAGCACGCACCCCTGAGGGGCCCCCGTGTTGAGGATCAGTGTGGCAGATGTGTTGTTACCTACCCTTACCACCTGGGGGCGGCCCGTCAGGAAGTCCAGGATCCAGTTGCAGAGGGAGGTGTTTAGTCCCAGGATCCTTAGCTTAGTGATGAGCTTAGAGGGCACTATGGTGTTGAATGCTGAGCTGTAGTCAATGAATAGCATTCTCACGTAGGTGTTCCTCTTGTCCAGGTGGGAAAGGGCAGTGTGGAGTGCAATAGAGATTGCATCATCTGTGGATCTGTTGGGGCGGTATGCAAATTGGAGTGGGTCTAGGGTTTCTGGGATAATGCTGTTGATGTGAGCCATGACCAGCCTTTCAAAGCACTTCATGGCTACAGACGTCAGTGCTACGGGTCGGTAGTCATTTAGGCAGGTTATCTTAGAGTCCTTGGGCACGGGGACTATGGTGGTCTGCTTGAAACATGTTGGTATTACAGACTCAGCCAGGGACATGTTGAAAATGTCAGTGAAGACACTTGCCAGTTGGTCAGCACATGCTCGGAGTACAGGTCCTGGTAATCCGTCTGGCCCTGCAGCCTTGTGAATGTTGACCTGCTTAAAAGTCAAAGGCTTGTGTCACTGGGCAGCTCGCGGCTGTGCTTCCCTTTGTAGTCTGTAATAGTTTTCAAGCCCTGCCACATCCGACGAGCGTCAGAGCCAGTGTAGTACGATTCAATCTTAGTCCTGTATTGACTCTTTGCCTGTTTGATGGTTCGTCGGAGGTCATAGCGGGATTTCTTATAAGCGTCCGGTTAGAGTCCCGTTCCTTGAAAGCGGCAGCTCTACCCTTTAGCTCAGTGCGGATGTTTCCTGTAATCCATGGCTTCTGGTTGGGGTATGTACGTACGGTCACTGTGGGGACGACATCATCGATGCACTTATTGATGAAGCCAGTGACTGATGTGGTGTACTCCTCAATGCTGTCTGAAGAATCCCGGAACATGTTCCAGTCTGTGCTAGCAAAACAGTCCTGTAGCTTAGCATCTGCGTCATCTGACTGTGTTAATAACCTGACTGTGTTAGCATCTGCGTCATCAGACTGTGTTAATAACCTCTCTCCACTCCTTTCTCTCTCTCCTCCACCACATCAGACTGTGTTTAGGAAGTTTGACCTGGATAAATCTGGCACCATGAGCTCCTATGAAATGCGGATGGCACTGGAATCAGCAGGTACTGTTTTATTACTGTTCTAGTAGCATCCTCACTAAATGTATAAAGCACAATAATATAACCAACACTGAGTTGACTGTGCGTTTACTGTGAATGCAGTCTTCTCTAATGCCAGAACATTGCCTTTAAATTTCAATCAAACTGTAACGTTGACCTTCCGCAAGTACGTATTGAATAGAGCCCTTTTAAGTGCATAATAACATGACCAGCTCTGCCCCTGGTCACTTTATCCAACAGGAGACCAGTCTCTACCTAGTACTACCATGACAAGCTACCCGTTTGTGTAACCAGGCAAAAAGTCTAAAATAGTTTTGCTGATAAGACTAGTTGTCTAGGTGAGATATCATAAGAGCTGTGTTTGATGTGCTGTTCACCCACTGTCCCTTTCTCTACGTCAGGCTTCAAGTTGACCAACCACTTGTTCCAACTCATCATCCTGCGCTATGCAAAGGAAGACCTGAACGTGGACTTTGATAACTTTGTAAACTGTCTCATCCGCCTGGAGACCATGTTCAGTGAGTTGACTTCATCTACAGCAGTGATACCTCTGATAATGCTACTACCAGTAGAGATAACCACTCTCTGTTCACCATTCTAGAGACCTTTAAAGAAATGGACACTGATGTAGATGGGGTGGTATCCTTCAGCTTCTTCCAGGTATGTCACAACCATCAGAAACTGTCTTCTTATTTTGAGGGAGAGCAGCTTGTGGAGTTTTAACGTCAAACTGCTTTTGAGCCCAGACACAACTGTTCCTTTCTCTATCAATGTTTTACTGGTGTCATTGAAGTGTGACTACTTTAAGCTGTTAAATGTGTTATGAGGTGTTGGTAAAGTCTTTGCTCTCTTTCCTCTAGTGGATCTCCCTCACCATGTTTGCCTAGACATATGGATGGCCCTGGCCTGCTACAGCTTCTGTTTGTGGCGTCACCCCCACTCCAACTATGCATTACAACGGCCATAGAATATTGTCTTAAATGTGACTAGTTGTGGTTCTAAAACAGGTCGAGGAGAACACATAAATGCTTTTGAACATTGCCTTTGCCTGACTTTTTCATTTTATATATTAAAAATAATAAAAATAAACCTGTGATCAACTTGTTTTTTAAACAAGTTGTTGGATTTATATTCTGACAGAAGTCAATCATAAAGCCTTAGTTTGAAAATAACAAAACAGATATTCTAACCTCAATGACAAAAATGCCTTGAAAAATAGAGAAAATAAAACAGACATTTAAGGTTTTATTAAGTACATTTAAAGTGTTTGAAAAGCCAACTCTTTCTGGATACCTCTGCACTTCTCAGGAATGTATGGATTTTTGTTATCTTTCATTTTTGAAAATAAAGTGCAATGATTGAAACATCTGAACATGTAGCCATTATCCTCTGTCATAATCTGAACGTCAAACATTAAGAAATGAGCAGCACAAATCTGTTTTTTCCCGGCAATTATTTAACAAACTTTAAAAGAGCAATAAATAATGCTTATTTATATATAAATATAATGACTTTATATACACTTGTATTCAAAACTACCATAATTGTCCTGACATCTCTATCCACCAACACACAGCTTACAATTTCACTTACATTTGAATTTTAAATCCTGTGATTCAATTCTAAACCCATTTCTCTCCATGGAGTTTCCTCTAAGGACAAATATCCCTACATCTTCACCTACCTTACATATGCTACACATGGCTTTTAACAACCTCTGGGGCAAACACAGGCTGCTCCTGTTAACGTCCCAGTCACCTTGAGTCAGCCCAGCCACTAGAGGGCGCTAGAAGCACATGGTGAGAGCATAGCAGCCAGCCCAGGAACTGAAGATGATGCTTGCTCTCTCTCTCTCTCTCTCTCTCTCTCTCTCAGTTGAGTGCCAGTCCCTCACTGACGGGCATGTTGATATGGGCAGTCAGCAGGGGTGCACTCTTGCCCTCTCGCAGCACAAACACCTGTAATTACACAACGTGTGTCAACAACAGCTTACCTTCTACTCTCACATAGGTTTTATGTTCAAGGAGGCACTGAAATGGCTACACAGTGAAGTTACCTAATGGAAAAATAGAGTAACAGAGAAATGAAATGCATACTTTGATGATGTCAGAGATTCCTTTATCACTCAGGCACTCCACAAATGTGTCAATAGGGTAGTTGAGCCCAGGAACCAGTAGGGGGATCTGCGGAGAGATTGAACACATTCAATAATATTCAGGCTATTAGCCAAAGTGAAAGAATGTATATAAACTACCCAGCGACATTAGTGAGGTGTACAGTCAATGTCACTTTTCAGCTGATGATACATGATGGATTAAAAGGAAGGTCACCTTGAAGAAGGCTGTCCTCATACTGTACAGGCTCTCGTCATACAGGAAGCTGATGGCCAAGTTCATGACAGGACGGCATGCAGCTGTGTTCTGGATGTTCAGAGTTAGCTTGAAGGACGGGCCCAGGCCCTGCACCTAACACAGACAGGACGACAGGAGGAGAGAGACTCCACCAGGAGTTCTGACTGTGTGCTAAACCATCGCTGGGATTCTATTAGAGACACTCACATTCCCTCATACACCAGGACATCAGACTCACCACTGCGTTCATCTTGAGAGGCTCAGACAGGCTGGAGGACATGGGTGTAAGGCTGGACTCTAGGGCTTTAACGTAGGCCCTCGCTGCAGCCAGACGCAGACGACTCAGGTCCATCTGGAAGGCCCTGTGCATTGCTGGAAAACACATGGCCCAAACCGAACATCAAAAATTGACCCACAAACCCAAGACCCCAAAACTCTCTCCAAAAACTGCTGAGAAACAAGCAAACCATTGTTCAGTCTGGAGGTTGTGGCCACTGGCCAGGCTAGACTACAGTTCTGGTTGGACATACGTACCCACAGCATTCTCCCGTTCCCTCATGGTTTGGTCCACGTACAACTTGGTCTTCTTGGGGATATTGAGGCGGATGCTTTGTGCCAGAGGGGGGCCTGGGGCAGAGTCCCTGTCATCAAACACAGCTGTCCTCTTCAGGATCTTTACTATCAGACCCCCTCCTACAAAACACAGGGACACACACTGAAATCAGGCACGGGGCTTCATTTCATCATCTGTCCATTGTACTAAGCATCCTAGACTAGAGGACCCTCTTTTAAACAAGACTTCAAATCCATCCTAAATGAACAGGTAATATGTACCTTTGGTGGTCATTATAAGGGTTCCGTCTTCTCGTCCATATCTCCCAAAGCAAATGCTGGTCACTACATCCTGGAACACAGAGGACTGACAGTCAGAACTAATCATGACAGTGGGGTACAAACCTAGCAAACCTAATCACCTTTCAAAAACATAGGATTTTGTTGGGGTGCCAAGTCCAGATAAAACTAAAACAAGCAGGAAATAAGCATGTGAATCTGTTTCTAAAGAGTCTGTTTCATCAGAATCAAGTAGCTACTAACCTATTGGTTAGCTTTTGGCCTGTCTAGCCATGGCGTCTTACCGGAGTCTTGATGGTGCTAATGAGGTTTTTGTCCCTGTAGATGTGGACCTCACAGTTAGCCAGACCCACTAACACCGCCTGGAAGCCCCTGGTGGGGAGGTCCATCACACCCATGGTAGTGACAGGGGCAGGCAGGCAGGCCGTCCACAGCTTCTTCCCCTGGACACAGAGGACAGGACAGGACACACACTCAGGCCTCTTCCAACGATCACATCACACAGCTGCAGTTTCTACTGAATTGACTGAGTGTAGGTGAGAGAGGGTGTTACCTACCTTCTGTGTGAAGCCCTGCAGGGTCTCCTGGGCACAGCCCACCACCACATTCTTCCCCATCCTCACCAGCCCCACAGGGTGAGAAGACAGCTCAATACAGTACTTGGGCTTGGGGGACTCCCTGCAAAGACAGAGCACAACAAAATGGCATCCAGCTATTTCCCTTGCATCCTCCGAAAATAAACATTGGCTGGCAGTAATACACTCAGGCCAGATGTAATACTTTTAAACTTTTAAAGTTTTGGGGGAGGGTCATCCATAGGACAGGGGTCATCCATATGGAAGGCCAATGTGCGACTTCAGCCTCAAAACATACAACTTTCAAACCAAGATGTTTTCCCGACAACTTTCTTCCACCTTTTCTTTATCTCTGAATAGTGTTGTCGGTATCAAAGCCGAATCTTTTATTTCCGCGAACCGACCTAGTCATGATTGCGATAAAGTTCTGCCTACGGCTTAGTAATGCTGAGGCGTCATTGGCATGCACTACGCTCTTGAGCTCTTGATGGTTGCTAGGCAGCGCCCTGTTACTACTATCCTGGCAGTTGTAAACTTTGCGAGGCATGTCACTTCACCCATCTCTTTGGATTGCCCACCACATGCACTGTTTTCTTAACCACAACTGGATGGATCCATAAAGAATGACTGTGGGAATAAATATCACTGAATGACCAACATACTGGAATAAAGTAGGGTACCCTGCATGTGTTCAACAATTTCAGCATCGTTTTGCGCAGCTTTGAGACAAGTGTGGGGACTCTTGATAAACCAATGTCAGATTTGACTTTTTTACTGAATCTCCATTTGGATATTGGTTAGGCTACAATTAGACTGTTGAAATGTTAGCTAAGTTGAGTTGAGTGCTGCTGATGATCATCTTGTCTAGGCTCATTTATTAACACTGATCAGAACATTTTGCCAGCATGTTACTGCACGTAGTCTAATTAACAATTTGATTATTTTGCTTTTCACTTGCAGTCGCTTAGCAGCCTAGGCCTACTCCCAACCAAAAAGCCTGTGACTTGTCTTAATCAATCAATGTGATTTTGTTTCACTGAATCTCCATCTGTATATTTGGTTAATTCTCTGTCTGGGCAAATAAGTAGAGGTGGTAGCTCATCTATTCGATTGCAATAATGTATCCTAAATCAAGTGTTCATCTATCACTGATCAGAAACATTTAACATGCTATAATGTATCCTAAATCAAGTGTTCATCTATCATCGATCAGAAACATTTAGCATGCAATAATGTATCCTAAATCAAGTGTTCATCTATCATCGATCAGAAACATTTAGCATGCAATAATGTATCCTAAATCAAGTGTTCATCTATCACTGATCAGAAACATTTAACATGCAATAATGTATCCTAAATCAAGTGTTCATCTATCACTGATCAGAAACATTTAGCATGCAATAATGTATCCTAAATCAAGTGTTCATCTATCATCAATCAGAAACATTTAGCATGCAATAATGTATCCTAAATCAAGTGTTAATCTATCACTGATCAGAAACATTTAACATGCAATAATGTATCCTAAATCAAGTGTTCATCTATCACTGATCAGAAACATTTAGCATGCAATAATGTATCCTAAATCAAGTGTTAATCTATCACTGATCAGAAACATTTAACATGCAATAATGTATCCTAAATCAAGTGTTCATCTATCACTGATCAGAAACATTTAGCATGCAATAATGTATCCTAAATCAAGTGTTCATCTATCACTGATCAGAAACATTTAACATGCTATAATGTATCCTAAATCAAGTGTTCATCTATCATCGATCAGAAACATTTAGCATGCAATAATGTATCCTAAATCAAGTGTTCATCTATCACTGATCAGAAACATTTAGCATGCAATAATGTATCCTAAATCAAGTGTTCATCTATCACTGATCAGAAACATTTAACATGCAATAATGTATCCTAAATCAAGTGTTCATCTATCACTGATCAGAAACATTTAGCATGCTATAATGTATCCTAAATCAAGTGTTCATCTATCACTGATCAGAAACATTTAGCATGCAATAATGTATCCTAAATCAAGTGTTCATCTATCAATGATCAGAAACATTTAACATGCTATAATGTATCCTAAATCAAGTGTTCATCTATCATCGATCAGAAACATTTAGCATGCAATAATGTATCCTAAATCAAGTGTTCATCTATCATCGATCAGAAACATTTAGCATGCAATAATGTATCCTAAATCAAGTGTTCATCTATCATCGATCAGAAACATTTAGCATGCAATAATGTATCCTAAATCAAGTGTTCATCTATCATCGATCAGAAACATTTAGCATGCAATAATGTATCCTAAATCAAGTGTTCATCTATCAGAAACATTTAGCATGCAATAATGTATCCTAAATCAAGTGTTCATCTATCATCAATCAGAAACATTTAGCATGCAATAATGTATCCTAAATCAAGTGTTCATCTATCACTGATCAGAAACATTTAACATGCAATAATGTATCCTAAATCAAGTGTTCATCTATCACTGATCAGAAACATTTAGCATGCAATAATGTATCCTAAATCAAGTGTTCATCTATCACTGATCAGAAACATTTAGCATGCAATAATGTATCCTAAATCAAGTGTTCATCTATCACTGATCAGAAACATTTAACATGCTATAATGTATCCTAAATCAAGTGTTCATCTATCACTGATCAGAAACATTTAGCATGCAATAATGTATCCTAAATCAAGTGTTCATCTATCACTGATCAGAAACATTTAACATGCTATAATGTATCCTAAATCAAGAGTAGGCCTATTATTTTGCTCCAAAAGCCCGAGGATGTTGTGAAATATGAACACGAGACTCACATGCTTTTGAAAAATATAGATTGCTATTATTTTCTATCGGTATCCTGATGAAGATACTCTGAAAGTAGAAAAAAAAATGTGGCCCGTGCTACAGACGGCTATATCATTCCGCTAATACCTAGTAAAGGCGCAGTGCACTACTTTTGTGCGAGAAAAAATGTACGTTAAAAAAAGTATTATTATTACATTTTGTATATATATTTTTCTTCTTCCAGATTTTTCAGGGGGTGCTGCAGCACCCTCAGCACCCCTACTTCCTGCAGCTATGCCCCTACTTCCTGCAGCTATGCTCCCACTCCTAAACTTGCTGGCATGTGCACAGGAGATATAAAAGGCTTATCCCGGCAAGAATGTGGTAAAATGGGACTGTATGAATTGGGTTCTACAAAAACATTGCCAGATTTCTTTTTACAGGCAACATACTGTAAAGTCTGTCTGTAAAGGGTCATAGAGAAAGGTATTTTTTGGTCGGTGGTTCCCATACCTGCGGAGGATGTAGATATTCCCATTGCGACAGGCCACAGTGATCCGGAACTCCACATCAAACTGACCAGTCACATCCATTTGCGTGGGAGAACTGGGGAGGGACATCTGTGGCAACAAGAATATGGATGTCAACAGAGGGAATGGAGAGAGTAAACCAGATGAATTCAACAACATGACTGAACCTGGATAATTCAACAACAATAAATGTTTTAACCTTTATTTATCCAGGTTAGTGTCATACAAATGTGTGCATGGAATTGAAGCAAAAGCCCCTCTTACACTAGCCACTGTCACGCTCTTCCTCCCATATCACATCTAACCAATGATTGATCTGTTATTGTAAATTCCTCTTTGTGAATTGAACATACCTTGGAGAGGATGGTGAAGGCCTCAGGGTCCAGGATATAGACATCTTTACTCTCAGTGCCAATAACCAGACAGCTGACTGCATCCTCATCAGCCATGTTCTTCTTCAGGGTGCCGATGCATGTAATAACAGTCTAAGAGCACATACAAACAGTTGACTCTGTGTGTGTGTGTGTGTGTGTGTGTGTGTATGTCACATTGCTCAAGTCAATCACTGCTGTGAGGAAGGCTACCTGTCTTCGTATTGGCTGCGCCTTATGAAGGTTCACAAAAGCCTCCATGTCTTGTGGGTCCAACATGAGGAACCTTGACAGGTAAAAGGGAACAATGGTGATATGAAACTTCAGTCTGATCCAGTATCAGACGGCACTCCACTCACACAAACAACCAGAGTTACTTATCCAACTGAGTTGTTACCTCAAAGATCTGACGGAGAGTGGAACATCAGCTTTGTCTCTAGAAAGCAGGAAAGTAGTACTAATTAATACCATGACCCTGATCCTAATCCATGATCATAATGCCATTTTGTCAGTGTACTTTGGATGTGGCACGAGTAACCTGTTTTGATCATCGTACAGTCTTTTGAATGGTTTCATATATATTTTTAAGACGGTCAGATAATCAAGCATTGGCAATAAAATAAAATAAGTATTTCCCCCAAACACACAATCAACAGTCAATTGGGAACATAACTCGACGCATGCTATTAGCAGAAACTTACCGGATGCCCTCCAACATTTCCTTCAAGCTCAATGGGTCAATCATGTCCTTAAGAAAAGAGAAGGGTTATTAGTACAGCAGGCCAATCAAAAGAGAACCATGGTGCTCTCCCAGAAGCGTGGCTGGTGCGTAAAACCCGCCAATTCAGAGAAACAAAAAGGTGTCGCATAAAGTACAGCAGGCCAAAATTGAAAACAGCTCAAAAGTTGTTGCTCTAACAGTGCAGAGGGAAATTACAACATAATTAACTTTTTTTTATTGTTTTGTTTGCTGAAATCTTTGCAGCTCCACTCACCTCCCTTGCCTGGTTCCATACGTCCTGTTCCAGGGCATTGACCTCTAATGGAGGGAGAGTGAACTTGAAGTAGGGCCGAAGGTTTTTATAGACATAGATGAAGGGGCCGGAAGCTACAGCGATGGCAGGCGTGCGTGGCTCATGCTGGTCCATGAGGAAAGAAACCAAGCCAGTGGGCAGGTCAAGCAACGTGTTCTCACTCATCAGGCCAGTTCCACGGTACACCTTCAGCTTCATGTTGCATGAACCAGTTCCCAGGTCCCCCACCACCAACTAAAACAGAAAGAAGGACAATGTTCATCTTGTACACAGAAATCACAGGCACACTAATCAAACACCACACGTACACGCACCCACAGAACAAAATGAGTCAACCAAAAAACATGCACAAAGAGCTTCTTCCTATGAGAAAAAGGATTAGAGGCAGATTAAGAAATCGCTTATAGCAAGTGTAGCAACATTATTCTTACCTTATTCTCACCATCCCCATGCAGGTCTGCAAGAGCTGTATAAGAAATACACAGGCCACGGGTAAATTCATTGTCTGAGAAAATAGCGGATTTATTTATAGATATTAATAAATATGTATGTACAGACAAGATGTATAGCATCAAAATTAGAGCAAATGTACATTTAACAAGGCTACATTTAACAAGGCTAGTGACAGAAATTAGAAATGGGTGGTAGCTAAGGTGAAATCTTACCGATGCAAGATGAAAAAGTATAGAGATTGGCCACTGGATCGTAGTGTGCATCTAACCATTTACTGGTCTCAGAGCTGTTAAGAGACAGAGTAACGTTATGGTTTTTAAGCAAGGCAACGACTTTTCAACCATAATTTAGCAAGCATAGAAATAACGTTTGACAGCTAGCCAGCGTCGCTGGGATTTCTTTACATTTACCACTGGGCACAGGCGTCATTTCAACGTCTAACTTAGTGTTGATGTACATTTCGTTTAATTGTCAACTAATGTGAATTCAACGTAAATTCGACAAAACAGGTCACTATGTCATAGAATTTAGGTTAAAGTTGCGTGAAAAAAAGACGAAATTCCCTTAAATGTATGACTTTTTGCTAATCCAATCAGTTTTCTACGTTGATTCAACGTCATTTCATATATTTTTTGTTGTTGAAATGATGTGGAAACAACATTGATTCAACCAGTTTTTTGCAAAGTGGGTAGCTAACTAGCTAATGCGATTAGCTAGCTAGTGATAGCAAAGTTGGCTTGCTTGATATCCTGCTAACGTTAGCTAGCTGGCTTGCTGGCTAACGTTAGCATGCTAGACGTAGCTAGCTAACGTTAACGAAACGTTAGCTGAAAGGTTTGCGTTCCTGTAGCTAGCTAGCGTAACTTACTTTTCTTTCATCTGTGAGAGTGAAGGCATAACCAATATGATATTCCTCAATTAATATTGTAAGGATATCCTGTGATGCAAAATTGTTTTGCCACTGAGGTAGCTAGCTGGCTAACGTTAGCTTGCCTGCTTGTTTACGTTAGCATTAATCATCTGATCGGCTTTTCCGTTTCTATGGCAGCAAGGAAGGAGCAACGGAGAAAAGATTCCTTAACAAATTCCTCAATAAATCGTTCCGCTTCTTAAACGCTACTCTGTGAAATCGCGGTCTTTGATCGTACACACCGAGTACACAAAACATTAGGAACTTCTCTTTCCATGACAAACTGACCAGGTGAATTCAAAGTGAAAGCAGTGGTGGAAAAAGTACTAAATGGTCATACTTGAGTAAAAGTAAAGATACCTTAATAGAAAATTACTCAAGTAAAAATAAAAGTCACCCAGTAAAATACTACTTGAGTAAAAGTCTAAAAGTATTTGGTTTTAAATATACTTAAGTATCAAAAGTAAATGGAATTGCTAAAATGTACTTAAGTATCAAAAGTAAAAGTAAAAGTATAAATCATTTCAAATTCCTTATATTAAGCAAACTAGACAGCACTTTATTTATTTTTTAATTGACAGATAGCCAGGGGCACACTCCAACACTCAGACATAATTTACAAACAAAGCATTTGTGTTTAGTGAGTCTGCCACATCAGAAGCAGTAGGGATGACAATGGATGTTCTCTTGATAAGTGTGTGAATTGGACCATTTTCCTGTCAAAATGTAACGAGTATTTTAGGGTGTCAGGGAAAATGTATGGAGTAAAAAGTACATTATCTTCTTTAGGAATGTAGTGAAGTAAAAGTAAAAGTTGCCAAAAATATAAATAGTAAAGTACAGATACCCCAAAAAACTACTTAAGTAGGACTTTAAAGTATTTTTACTTAAGTATTTTACACCACTGGGTGAAAGGTATGATCCCTTATTGATGCGACTTGTTAAATCCACTCCAATCAGTGTAGATGAAGGGGAGGAGACAGGTTAAAGAAGGATTTTTAAGCCTTGAGACAATTGAGGCATGGATTGTCAATATCTGCAGTGGTGACCTGTCATTCAGGGCAGGTGGGGCAGAACCTGTTTTGAGGCCAACATTTTTAGCAGAAATGCCTGTTTTGCATGTTATTTTGGCATTAATACAGTGGGGGAAAAAAGTATTTAGTCAGCCACCAATTGTGCAAGTTCTCCCACTTAAAAAGATGAGAGAGGCCTGTAATTTTCATCATAGGTACACGTCAACTATGACAGACAAACTGAGGGAAAAAAAATCCAGAAAATCACATTGTAGGATTTTTTATGAATTTATTTGCAAATTATGGTGGAAAATAAGTATTTGGTCACCTACAAACAAGCAAGATTTCTGGCTCTCACAGACCTGTAACTTCTTCGTTAAGAGGCTCCTCTGTCCTCCACTCGTTACCTGTATTAATGGCACCTGTTTGAACTTGTTATCAGTATAAAAGACACCTGTCCACAACCTCAAACAGTCACACTCCAAACTCCACTATGGCCAAGACCAAAGAGCTGTCAAAGGACACCAGAAACAAAATTGTAGACCTGCACCAGGCTGGGAAGACTGAATCTGCAATAGGTAAGCAGCTTGTTTTGAAGAAATCAACTGTGGGAGCAATTATTAGGAAATGGAAGACATACAAGACCACTGATAATCTCCCTCGATCTGGGGCTCCACGCAAGATCTCACCCCGTGGGGTCAAAATGATCATAAGAACGGTGAGAAAAAATCCCAGAACCACACGGGGGGACCTAGTGAATGACCTGCAGAGAGCTGGGACCAAAGTAACAAAGCCTACCATCAGTAACACACTACGCCGCCAGGGACTCAAATCCTGCAGTGCCAGACGTGTCCCTCTGCTTAAGCCAGTACATGTCCAGGCCCGTCTGAAGTTTGCTAGAGTGCATTTGGATGATCCAGAAGAGGATTGGGAGAATGTCATATGGTCAGATGAAACCAAAATATAACTTTTTGGTAAAAACTCAACTCGTCGTGTTTGGAGGACAAAGAATGTTGAGTTGTATCCAAAGAACACCATACCTACTGTGAAGCATGGGGGTGGAAACATCATGCTTTGGGGCTGTTTTTCTGCAAAGGGACCAGGACGACTGATCCGTGTAAAGGAAAGAATGAATGGGGCCATGTATCGTCAGCAAGGGCATTGAAGATGAAACGTGGCTGGGTCTTTCAGCATGACAATGATCCCAAACACACCGCCCGGGCAACGACGGAGTGGCTTCGTAAAAAGCATTTCAAGGTCCTGGAGTGGCCTAGCCAGTCTCCAGATCTCAACCCCATAGAAAATCTTTGGAGGGAGTTGAAAGTCTGTGTTGCCCAGCGACAGCCCCAAAACATCACTGCTCTAGAGGAGATCTGCATGGAGGAATGGGCCAAAATACCAGCAACAGTGTGTGAAAACCTTGTGAAGACTTACAGAAAACGTTTGACCTGTGTCATTGCCAACAAAGGGTATATAACAAAGTATTGAGAAACTTTTGTTATTGACCAAATACTTATTTTCCACCATAATTTGCAAATAAATTCATAAAAAAATCCTACAATGTGATTTTCTGGAATATATTTTCTCATTTTGTCTGTCATAGTTGACGTGTACCTATGATGAAAATTACAGGCCTCTCTCATCTTTTTAAGTGGGAGAACTTGCACAATTTGTGGCTGACTAAATACTTTTTTTTCTCCACTGTACGTGTCACATATCAGTTTGCAAACAATGTAAAAAATATATATATTGTGATGACCTGACTAGATCATAAAAGAACAACTGTCCAGACAGAGGATTGGGTTTACGAATGGACGGTTTATTAAACCAACTTTACACAGGCTACTGTTTGGCCGTAGCCCACGCCAAATAAATGAAAGATAACCCACAAGCCAATCGTGACCTTCTCTTGTGAAGCCCAGACGTAAAGAGAGGGAGAACAAAGGCTAAACCTGGTCTTAACTTCCAATGCTCCATCCCCCTGCCCAACCCCCCTCCACGCCACTCCGCCAACCGCCAGGATGCCCGGCATCAGAACATTCCAGGCATTCCCGTGATTGGCAGATAGCAGGTTGATTGACATGTCGGACCCCGCGAACACTGGGTACTGGTAGGTACAACACAACCATCTACTAGCCTAACACATAACACACAGCTGTCTGTGCGGGTCGCTACAATATAATATATTTTTTGTTTTCTTGAGTAAGTCAGCTCCAAAATGCAGGTGTTTCAGCCTAGCTCAGTGCTTTCTGTGGTGGTGGGGCAAGCCAGCAGAAAATAGGAGCTCATGGGGACACTATGTCACTACCAAGTCTAAGTCCTTAGTAAGGGTAGACATAGAACATTCAAGCCCTTTGGGTCCTGCCACAGAGTTACATTAGAAGTGCCCTTCCAAGAAGGCTCAAGGTCATTGGCCACAGATAAAATGACGTCAAATCACGTTATATGTACAGTAGCTTTAATTGGACTGATCATGTCAATATCTTACTTTCAAAATCTTAGCTAGCAGTCATCATCATGAATCAAGTCGACAATCTACTGGCAAATCCTTTTTAATCCTTGTCATATGAAGATCGGTATCGGTGCTCATCGGCCATTGGACATAAACATTACACAACAAGTTGGAAATTGCAAATTCAACAATGAGTGGTTTGGAAGGAATCGGTGACAGTGGCTAACTGCAAGCATTGCAACTGGGAAGTCGGGAATAAACGAGCTCAGACTGGGCAAATATGTTTTGAACGGTCATCCAACTCAGAATTGTAAATCCGGCCTCTTTCTCTTTCTTTGATGACAGAATTTGCCCCCGAAGGACCACCGCACCACCTTCCTGTTCAAGTGAGCATATCACAACAAGGTGAGTCCAAAAATGTCTTATATGCTGCTGCATAAATTATGTAATATGCCAGGGAGATATGTATACTGTAGCTAAGAAAGTAATACTAAGTGTATATTGTGTAGTAAGCTGTTAGTAGCCCATGTGCCTCACCCTAATAATTTGGTATATTTTCACCTCTTAATTTCACCTACTGTTCTGACTCGGTGGTGCACATGTAGCCTATAACCTGTTTTTGAGAAATGTAATCATCAAATATTGTAAGAGCTTTCATTGTCTGCTTATATTTCCCCTTTATTTATCCTATGGTTCTGACTTGGTGTACAGGGAGAACACTGTAAGAACTGCCCATGTTCTGAATTCTGTCGCTGTACATTTCAAAAGTGCTGAACAAATAGTTATATTGACTATGTCCGTCCTAGCTCGCTCACTAATGTCTTAATCGAAATTACGGATTGCCTCTTATTCGCTTCTCGTCCCCTTATGTCATAGTTTGTACATCTCAATTGTCAGTAGAAACCACATGTGTTTAAGCAAGTCAGCCATAACAGCTATGTGTTTTTTTAAAGGCAGTAAATGAGGCTGTTTGAACTGTTTCGCTGCCAGACAAGGCTCCGCTGATAGCCAGGGGTAGCAGTGGTAAGGTGATGGGACTCTGCTGTTGGGACAGCTTTATGTAGGCCCTAACAGTTTGTGGGCACCGTTTGTCACCGTTATATTACAATTAATGTATTGTTTAGTGTTGTGTTGTGTAGTGGTTTTGCTGGCATGCATCCCACCATTTTGTTTTTGCCCCACCAAGATTTACATGCTAAAATCGCCACTGTATATGTGCCATTCAGAGGGTGAATGGGCAAGACAAAATATTTAAGTGCCTGTGAACGGGGTATGGTAGTGGGTGCCAGGCGCACCATTTTGAGAGTGTCAAGAACGGCAACACTGCTGGTTTTTCACGCTCAACAGTTTCCTGTGTGTATTAAGAATGGTCCTCCACCCGAAGGACATCCAGCCATCTTGACACAACAATGGGAAGCATTGGAGTCAACATTGGCCAGCATCCCTGTGGAACGCTTTCGACACCTTGTAGAGTCCATGCCCGACGAATTGAGGCTGTTCTGAGGGCAAAAGGGCATGCAACTCAATATTAGGAAGGTGTTCCTAAGGTTTTGTACACCAAGTGTAATTATGGCCTATATCCTCATGAGACCAGGCAATTCATTTTTGTCCTCTCTAGTGGATATCAGTTCTTGGTCCATATCTCTGAGGCCATACAAGTCACTGTGTTAC